ACACGCAAGTTTAAGAACATAAGCCTTCGTCTGTATATTAAAAACAATTTAGGAAACAAACTTCTGATAAGTGAAACCATGGATTATGCTAAACAAGTTTTGATGGAGGTAAATATAAAAAAATGAGGTATGCTATTGGTGTACGAGTAATCTATAGAGCCATTAACATAGATAAAATAATACCCCTAAATTTAACTATTCATTATTTTTAAATAAATTTAAAAATGTGTTAGTAGATATACGAGGATATATCAGTATATAACGAGACTGGTGCTATAACTTCTTTCAGAGGTAACATTTTATTACCCAAAAAATGAGACATGAAAGCCTTATATTTAATGTACTACCCCGCAAGTAGGCTTTGATTTAACTTTTGACATTTGTTACAAATTAATTATTGAATTGTCAGTGTTTTGCGTACCCATCGAAAAATGAAAGTGGAGCAAAGATACGCGATAAAATTTTGTGTTCGATTGGGTAAAACACCAACTAAAACTTTTGAAATGATTAAAGGTGCATATCTAGATAATAGTTTATCACGATGTAGAGTGTTTGAGTGGCATAAAAAGTTTAAAGACGGTTGTGAATCAGTTGAAGATGAACCTCGTCCCGGTCGACCACAAACTGCGAGAAATGATACAAAAATTGCAGAAATTAACGACTTGATACAAAATGATCGCCGGATTGGCATAAAACGAATTTCTGACAATGTTAATTTGTCTTACGGTACCACTCAAAAAATTATTCATGAAGATTTAGAGTACCGGAAGATCGCGGCAAGATGGATTCCAAAAGTGATGACCGATGAACAAAAAGCGAATCGAGTGACAATTTGTCAGCAGTGGAAAAGGCAATTGCAACGTAACCCACAGTTTTTAAATAATGTGGTTACATGTGACGAAAGTTGGTTTTATCATTACGATCCTGAATTGAAGTCTCAAAGTATGCAATGGAAGCATAAAGGCAGCCCAAGACCGCAGAAGGCCAAAACTGCTAAAAGCGCTGGTAAAGTGATGCACCTGATTTTTTTTGATAAATTTGGCGTTATTTACGATCACATTGTACCTAGAGGACATACAGTAACAGGGGAGTACTATTCTAATGTACTTCGAGGACCCTTAAAGGCAAAATTAAAGAAAAAAAGGCCGCTTTATCAGGACTTTGGCTGAACGCTGCATCACGACAATGCTCCGGCTCATAGATCAATGATTTGTCAAAGAACAATTGAAGAATTAGGGCTTGAAATTATGGTTCATCCCCCCTACTCTCCTGACCTTTCTCCATGTGACTTCCATTTGTTTCCTGAGGCCAAAAAAGAATTGAGAGGTAGAAGATTTGAGTCGGATTTAGAGCTCAACAACGCTGTGATGGGTATACTAAACAGACTATCAAAAAATGGTTTCTCAGAAGTTTATGATAAGTGGATAAAGCGATGGGATAAGTGTATTCAACAGAATGGAGAGTACTTCGAAAGATAGTTGTTGAATTTTTTTAAATAAATGTTTCGTTGTTATACTATAGCACCAGTCTCGTTATTTTCTGATACATCCTCGTACAGGGCATGACAAAATAATTTGTAAAGGTTAATTAATACAGATCTTTTGGATATGCAGTCAAACATATTGTGCTAATATTTTAGCAATTATATAGCTAACAATTATATGTCGTTAATTTATCATATCTACAGTACTGTTGACTTAATGACTTAGTGGTAATTGCTACCAATTTACATTTTTTTGGTGTACTAAAGATTTGAAGTATCTGCTAAAGAAGAAATAATTAAAACAATAACATATGGAAATCTGAACGGAATTAATACTATTCTATTGGAATTGGAAGTTGCTTTATAATCAGACATATTGATCAGAAATGTAATTTATCAATAGCAATATTTTTGTTAGCATTCCTAGTTGATACTAGGTAATTACGAATAGCAGAGGCGGCTCGTGGCTTAGTCTACGCCGAGTAGGCTACGGAGGTTACTTTTGAAAGGCACACCCTACATACTTAATACAAATAGATATTTCTATTAGAATACAAAAAGCAGAAATACTACATTGTATTCTAATAGAAATATAAATTTGTATTAAGTATATAGGTTGTATGATGTGCTAGCCTCCTCGTAGACTAGGCCACGAGCGGCCTCTGTGAATAGTGTAAATCAATACACTATATTGTTTTGTTAATATAAGTTTTTGTTTTTAATTTTTGAGAGACATATTTATAAGACTTGTCTAAGACTGATAATAAAGCAATTATCTGGATTATATTTTATTGTTCTTTAACAATTTTAAATATTCTTAATAAACATGCACTTACAAAAAAAATACTATCAATGCAGCAAAAAATAAAAATCCTTCATGGAACACTTATGATATTAAACTAATGTAAAAGTTCCCAGACAACACACCAAATCCCAGAGATATCCACAGAATATATTTTGTGGATATCCAATATATCCACAGGATATCAGAAATATTCCGTGGAACTAATATGGATATCCAAATGTCCGTCTATATCCAGAATATAGAAGATATCCTATGGATATTCAGCAAAATATCTAATGAGTATCTCCAGACAATACAAGAAATCCCAGATATATCCATAGAATATATTTTGTGGATATCCAACCAAATGTCCGTCTATATCCCAGGATATAGAAATTCAGATAAATATTTTATAATTATTTTTAGTAGAGGTTCATAAGTAACCAATGGTTATTGAATAACGTCGAAAGAAAATAGAGGTAAAAAATATTCCCAACAATCTGCCTTTGATTTTGCCTACTAAGGAGAAAATCATCCTTATTAGGAATCTTCAACAATAAATGGAACTTCTCGACTTCAGTCTCTAATGAAGTCTGTTTATGAAACAATGTCGATCAAACTCAATTACGGCGGGTTAAGCATGAGTAGATACGAAAGTGGTATCGCCATCTATACTTAGGAAGCAAAATCAAAAATTACATCTAGTAGATATCCACGATGGTTTGCGTCCGCGCTTAGACTTTGATATATTTATATTTATAGTGGATGTCCATGGGATATTGAATACACCTTAAAAAAAATTAATTTTAAATATCTCAACGGTACTATTAGCCACAATGGCGAGTACAATGGCGTAATTTTTTAATAATTTGCTATATAATTACAATTATTTATGGACATTTGCATGTCTATAAATTACATTTCATAGATATAAAATAGATATCCACCATGGACTGGACATTCAGTGGATATTGGGATGTTCAGTAGATATCCAAAGGATTTGGTGTGCTGTCTGGGTTAAGGGACAAGGCATTACAAAAATATAGAGAAACAAAAGAAATAGTACACTGGTACTATTACAAAAACGGAGAAATGTTATATCTGCTGCAATAAAGAGAGAGCAGAGATAACAGAGATATAATCATTCATTGATAAAATATAATATTCACGATGCCAACATTAATTCGACAATCGATACACTCTATTTGTAGACGCAGGGCGAGGCAACGAAAGGTGAGAAGTAGGAGAAGGGATAAAGAAAAGAATTTTAAGCAGATACAACTTATTTTTATCAATGAATAAATGTGTAAGCGACTGTGCGCTTATAATAAACAACTTAAATATCCATGCCGGTGTAAGCTCTATTACCACTTCCAACCTAATATGAGTAGGTTTTGGTATTTATTGAAAATTATTACATCTAATTTAGTGAAATTACACATAATTTAGTTAAATTTAATATAACTAATGATTCAAAATTTTTTGGGTTTAGTTGCAATAAAATAGGTTGAATTATTTTAGCTTTTTTTTAAATATGAAAATAATTTTGTAAACAAAACGAGAATAATGAAATAAGCATATGAAAACAGCGTATATTATACCCGCCTGTGTCCCTTAGAATATGTCTTATTTAGGACCGCATGATATTTGTTAGTAGTTATATCTCCTCGTTATCTCTGAGCGAGAGACATTTGTTCTTTACTTTTTTTAGTCTGCGGAGGAGGGCAGGAAAAATCTTGCCAGTGTGCCCCCAAGAAACTCGGCACGCCCCTACAAGGGGCAGGAAGGATAACTACTCCCCAAAAAAATTCAAAAATAAAATATGTAAAGATAATAAGTTATAATAGTTATTTATGTATCAAGGGCGTAAAACAGGCGTTTATGGACTGCAACGTGTAAGTAAGAGCCCGAGCCGCTAAACGAGGGCTATTAACATGTAAGGTCCAAAAACGCTGTTTGCGCCCGAAATAGATACAAAATTTTATGCACGACCCTTAGTAATGATAATTTATTAACAAATATATACAATTTTGTATACCACCGTTTTAATGATCGTTTATTAATAAATAACTATTATTTTCTCTTTTTCGCCTTTTGTGAGCAGGTTACTATAAAAGGCGGTAAAGTAGTCCGCGGGCGATAAAGGGGCACTTTACGCATGCTAAACGTATTTATAATCTGGACTTTATCGCCCGGTCGTGCATAAAAGTAAAACCGACTCCAAGAATAAAGAGTAGATAATAATTTTCTTATGGATCCCATCATCTATTTATATAGTACACCCCTGAACATGGACGCCGCCACACGAGGGCAAGGGAGATGACGTTTATAATTTTTTATTTTGATTTTGATCGAGTAATAGCCTGCTGCCTTTTGCCGCTGCCTACACGCCCTCTGGAAATTTTTTGAACGGCGCCTATGTCCCTTAGGTGCCCGCTTTCTAACAAAGTCGTAGAAAGCTGACAACGTGGTAAAGAATTTTTGCAGAACATCACCAGAACTTACATAAAAAACCTCCTTTTTTAAAGCCTGTTAAAAATAAAAAGAATATTGAATAGTAGGAAATAAAGTACAGTGTGCTATCTGAAGTGAAATGTCAGAACTATTAAGCACGTTTAAAACAGATCGCTATACTCAAGTAGAGTGTTTTGTACTTGAGCACGCTAGAGGGTTCTGAAAGCTCATTCTTCTACTTAAACTAGAAAATGAACCTTTTTTTATTAACACAAAGAGTTTCGCTAATAACAAATAACAACACCAGTCCAGGCCGTCAAGGAATATAAATACCAAAAGAAAGAAGAAGAAAAACTAACCTAAAAACTGGTGTTGTGGTTTCGTTTTGTTTGATGGAATGTAAATTTGTATTTTTATGAACTATTATTGAAAATGTCCAAACAGTAAGTACGATAAACTATTAAAATAAAAAAAATCCTTATGTAATATATTTTTTAGATATGGTTTAAGTTTTCCTAAACAGAATACTGGCCACCAAATTGGCCAAGTTTCATTAGCTAAACCTTCAGTTTTCGATAATAATTCTGACAGTGAAGACCAACCAACTAAGCCCACAGGAATCAGAGGCTCAAAAAAGCAGGATATTATTAGCCAAGAGAAAGCTATTGCAGATGACCCCACTGTTTATCAATATGACGAAGTATATGATCAGATTGAGAAGAAACGCAATGAATCGAAGCTTGCTCGAACAGATTTAGAAAAGAAACCGAAATATATTAGTAAATTGTTAGCTGCAGCTGAAAAAAGGAAGAGAGAAAATGATCGGAGAATTGAAAGGCAGGTTCAGAAGGAACGTGAAGATGAAGGTATAATGTTAATAAAAGCTAATTTTGATAACTCATTAATCTTTGTTGACTAATTGAAATTTTGTTCAAAGTCTATATAGAAAAGATAGTTTTGGTCCCTAAATCTCTATCTACTGTAGAAGTATATAAAGTCTTATTTTTTTAATTGCACATGATTGGTAAGTTTAAATCATTTATTTATTTATTTATTTATTTATTTATAAATCATGTTAGGAACATATGCTGGAACAAACAATAATGTTTCTTTTTTGGCCCAAAATATAGTCATATATTAATTCCTAGGCAACATAAATTTTATCCAAAAGGCAGAGTTCAGTTTCTATTATAGCAGAGCATAACTAGAATAGGGTGACCATATGTAGGTATATCATTTCGCTGTATTTTACAACATTTTCAAAGTCTGTCCAGCACTTGATCTTATACAGAAGACGTACAGCAAAACACAGTATTTGTTCAGTAAAAACGCCATTATTGTCCAGCAATGTAATACATATTTAACTGAAAAGTAATAAATAAGACAAAAACATAATTGGAAGCTAATAAATTTGGTTCTCTGGCCTTCTACATGACTTCTATTTTTGTATTTATCTTTGGAGAGCTAAAAATAAAGATCCTTACCTCTCCAAAGTTCATCAATGATATATTTGTGTTCAGCGTTCTGCATTGGGTGAAAAGAAATATAGTCACCTTAAACTAGAACCACTCAACTTAATTCATGGCTCACTCTATATGGGAGATAAGTTTTTTATTGATGTTTTTTTTTACCCCAAATCTTTCTATCTACTGTAGAAGTACCTATGTACACTTAATAATAATTATTATAAGGTCTTTTTTTATTGGCAAGAAATGTACTTATGATTGAATTTGGTCATTTTTCCCCAAATTGATTTTTTGGCAAATTTAAGTTCTTTAAACTGTCATTCACATATTCCTTATGAAAACGGGTCAAATATAATCCATTAAAGGCATAGCATTAAAGCATTCATTTTGAAAATGGCTCACCTCATAGACATAACATACTGAAATCAATGAATGGCCTACAACTATGGCATATGAGGTTCCTGAAAACCCTTAGCTTCCATAATGTTATTTTTTTACATAAATGCTAATGTACCTTTATTATACTATAGTTTTTTCTTCCTCAAGTTAAACGCAAATAAAGAATTCATATAAATGTGGATTTTTGTATGATAAGCCAAGCATTCATTTTGAAAATGGGTCATTTTCATATTTTTTTAGAATAATGTAGGGCTAAAAATGATTCTGTAGACATTTCTGGACCAGAATTTGCACTTTTAGGAAAAAATTATGGATAGTATTAAATAGTTTGTTCCTTCTCTTGTAAAATGTAAAATTTAAAGAGTTGTAGTTGGTCCCTTTTATTAGAGAACAAAATTCTAGCCAAAAGAGTTTAATTTCTATTATGCTCAGTTTTTTTGTTATACTTTGAACATTTTGATGATATAATGTTTACTATATTTAACTTATAATCATTTATATAGCTTGGGTTCTATTTGTAAAAAAGACCATAACAAGTGTTAGTACAGCAAGTGGAATGTATTAAGCAAAAATGTATTTTTTTTCATTTTTATATAAACAAATTTTATGACTATTCTATCATTTTTGTTATAATACAATTCTACAAACTTTCTGTAATGTGTATCTCATACATTGCCTATCTAAATTTTGTTAGACAAAAAGGGACTTATGTAGGCATGACAGTTAAATATAGGATGATCTAAAGGAATAGCAATCGACCATTTTGAACTTTAAAAAAAAAAAACATTTATTGTAGTCTGCATTTGATTAATGGCCTAACAAATTTCTAAATTGATCCTGTAAAACTACATGATTTCACATAAACATTCTTTATTATATACTTACTCTCTTTTTAAGGTGACATGTTCAAGGATAAAGAATCATTCATAACACCATCTTATAAAAAGAAACTTGAAGAAATGAAGCAACTGGAAGAAGAAGAAAAACGCGAGGAATACTTAGAAAGTATTGGAGATGTGGTAAAACAGGGCAATTTAGATGGATTTTACAGACATTTGTATGACCAAAAAATAAATTACCAAGACAAGGAAAAAACTGAGAAGAATGACACAGAAATTAAAAAAGAAGCAACAGATGATGTGGAAGAAGAAATTAGAACTGAAGATAATAAAACTGTAGCAGTTAGTGAGGGAAAATCCGATAAATTAATAAGAAAGAGAAAATATCGAACAAAAAGAAATTCAGATGATGATAGTCCTAGTGAGGAAGAACCAGAAGTGAAAAAGGAGCATTTGCCATCAAACATAGATGCAGATTCTGATTTCAGTGTTGATTCGTCAGACAGTGATGAGGAAGACAATAAAAAAGTTGCAGACAATAAGAAACAGGTGGAAGAGCCAATTAAACCAGAGATAAAAGATTGTAAGTTTGTAGAAATACCAATTAAACCTGAAGAACTTGTTAAGGAAGAAGTGGAGGTAAAAACTACTGTAAAAAAGGAGAAAATTGACATTTGGAAAAAGAGAACTGTTGGTGAAAAATATGAGGAAGCTGTAAAAAGATATTTTGAAAGAAAAGCTATACGAGAAATGGGACAGTAGGATATTCAATTAATTTTTATTTATTATTATTAAGTATATATAAAAATGATTTTTATTTGCATACTCTTACTGCTTATTATATCTTGAAGTTATTCTTTGATTGACAAACTGTTAAAACACTTTTCTTCTTGAGAAGATTCTTCAAAGAAAAGAAAACTCATTGTGTATAACACAAAACGTTTTTACTACTATATAGTTGAAAATACACATTTAACTCGCTCAAACATGTCTTTTTTGTAATTTTTCATTATTTCTGATATAATCATTGGTGTAATTACATAGCTATTACTTTTAAATTCCTTTTTTTGGAAAGTATTAAAATACAATGTCAACTATAACCATTGTTATTTTCATTCCTGAATAAAACCCTATACCTGACATTGGCATCTAAACCAATAGAATATAGCAAATTAGATTTATTTTATATTTTTTTCTACAACATGTAACTACAATACTACGAAGTTACATATATACAGGATACTTCATAAGTATCATCAACTTTTTAATATTTTTGATAAAAGCACAAATTAGTTCAGATGCGAAATTCGGCAAAATATAAAATGATTTTTAAGTTATAATTCTGTGACCTTGAAACTTTAAATGGGTGTGGCGTGAGTGTTGCCAATTTTAATTAATTTCAATTATTCTGGCTAATTATTTATTGTTTTTTAAATGTTTTATTTTTCTCCTTCTAAAACATACATAACATAAAATAAACTCATGCCTCAACATACGAAACCAAGCAAAGGATTTTGAAATAAGGATATACTGACCTTGAAATGGGTATGGCATAGGTGTTGCCAATTTTTAATTATTCTGGCTAAATATTGTTGTTAGGGAACATATACATGCCCTTCACACACAATGAGTTATAGTACGAGCAAGATATATAGTGTGACTTTAAAGCCAGCCGGCAACATACAAAAAAAACTAAGGAGACTGATATTCTTTTTCTTCAGCACAACAAAGGGATTCATATATAGACATCTATAACCGAAGCCCAGGGACGGATCTAATTAGTTGTATCTTATGCTTTAATGTAAGATTATTGTATATTTCAAGTGGAAATGTTATTTATACGCATTTAAAAATTATCACATTATTTGCATAATTTCCTAACTTCAATTAAGTATTTCATAAATGTTACTAAATTTAGTTTTAAAGGTTAAATTAATCTGAAATAAATATTCACGACTTGTAATTAAAATCACCATGAAACTACATTATTTTCATCTACTATTTATTTGATTTAATTGTAGTATTTAAATATTACACTGAATATTAAAAATCAATGTAGGATATTAGGAAAAATGCTTAAACAACTGTTATTTGAATCCTTTTATTATAAAAAAATTAAAAGATTTTGGCTTTAATTTCTAAAGTGATTAAAGCACGCAAGCCTTCTCACTACATCAAGGTTACATTCCCAGAAAAGGAAAACGGGAACAATATCAGGTTCCTTTCCAAAATAACGTGAACCAACAGATACGTGGTTACGTTTAATAAAGTAAAAATATAACCAAAATGGAAAATCAAATCTCATCAGAACTATCATCTTCACTTGACGGGTTTATAATGCAAGAATGAGCCAGAAATACTCGATGATTATTTTCAATTTTGATAATATGGAGAACATAATTCTTGAGAAATACCTCCAACAACTTCTCTGATAACATCTAAAACGCTTTCAGACAACTCAGGATTAACATTTTTTCTGACCTCCCTATTGATGTTACTCCAAATTAATTTTATTGCATTAAATGTACAATAATACGGTGGTAAGTGTATTACGGTATGACCGAATGCCGGTAGCCATCTCATTCACAACATAGCTAGGTTTGAGATTTAAGCCTTTCAATATTGTAAGCAAATCTTTCTTTAAAGTTGTAGGTGAATATGATACACCCATTCTGTCCAAAAACGCGGAAATTACTCCTTTTCGAGCTTCTGCTGTTGGAATTTCACTAGTTTGACGAGAGTGGTAGAAGGCATTACCCATTACTATTATAGTATTTGAATGCAAATTAGGAATTAATTGTTCTCCAAACCATTTCTCGAACAAGATAGATGTCATATCTTGGTGATAATATAATAACTCAAAATATTATTTGCTGATAATAGCAATTCGGCACAAAACCGTTTTCATTATCGGCATGTAATATTATAATACGTTTTCCTCTTTTTGGAGGAGCCTCTACAGAACATTTAGCAGATTGATCACTCCATCCGCTTTTCACAATATGAATGACGCACCAAGTCTCATCAAGATACACTATGAATATATCTTGCCGACGAGCTTCCTCTATTTTAGTAAGGTATTCATTACGTAAAATCAATTTTTTGAGATTCCATAATATGCTGTTTTCTATTTAAGGTACGATATCTAAAACCCAAAGTGATTCCAGTGATTTTATCAGATTCGTAAGGGAAGCCGGGAACCAACTTGATTTTATTTTTAATCATTTGAAAAATAATATTAGAATAAAAATTATAAACTATTCTTCTAATATTTTCCATCATGCAGTGATCTAGACTTACTATAGAGACCCTTGAGTACGCTTTTTTCTTGACAGACATTTGTCAAAACGTGTATTCTTTTTATGACATCATAATTAGATGCATTATTTTCCAATTTTAATTGGTGGTACATATTTTTAATAACTTTTTGGGTTGAGGGTGATATTCACATACCAAATTTTTGGTTATTATCATCCTCCTTCTCCTCAAATTCTTCTTTACTCTTAGAAGAAACTCTGATGGGTTCTGCATAGAATTGTGTAGGGTCAGTTGAAGTAAGAGCGCGTAAATGTATTAATACACATCTTAACAGTAGTCTAAATAATAACACTAAAAAAAATTCGGTTTTAATGTAAAAAAATGCCTTTACCCTGTGTTTACGGGATCAATGAAATTTAAAAAAATATACCAACATATATTAAATGCCAATTGTTTGTTTCATTTAATTGTACCCTAAATGTTGAAATGGTTATCTTAATAAAGTCTCTTATTTACTAGTAATTACCTACTTAATTAATATGTGTTCTCGCATAGTTTTTACATTTATTACTTTTTCTCAGCATGTATTAATATTTGACCCCCAGTTATTAAACACCAAAAATTAACATTTTCCACTATAGAATCTACAGGTAAAATATTACCTTTTCTTTGTAAATCACCCTGTAAAATAGATAAACAATCTATAAACTGCCAAAGCAGTCTTTGAACTGTTTAAATTTTACAATTTATGTGGGTATTTAAATATCAATTTAATTGTTTTTGGGGTGCAACTGATCCTACCTATTTAAAAAATGGTCAATCAGAGTTATAATTACATACCATCAATGATTACATTATTTCCATCACTTTCAAAAGGCCTCCAAGCCTTTTTTATAAATCAAAAATCGTAGCGAAGAACCAATTAAAAAATAAGTTAAGCAAAATCACAGACTTACGATTGGATATCCCAGTCCACGTGTAGCGGCATTTATTACGGGCTATCGTGTGCTCTACAAATATAAATTTGAGGAGGCTCAATTCAGCCAATAGGAAGACGCTAAAATTAAGCTGTTCAATATTAATCTGACCTAAACGTGCTTGTCGTACAAACTAAAATATGTGGTTCTATTTCCTGTTAACACATGCCAAAATTGAAAATTATATCTAAACTATTATCAGAGATATTAAAAACTCCCTGTAGAAAAAAATTGAAGTCATTGCGGACATATGTTCATCCGAACTTTTCTTCATAAAATAACCTGATGAATCACACTCTACAATATTAGCATACCATTAAAAAACAGGGTGTATAAATTGTAAAAACAGGGAAGCCATTTTGAATTTTTAAAAAGTAATTTATGATCTATCTGTGATCAAATACCAATTTAAGTCGAAATCTCTGACTTTTAAAAATAAGTTTTTTTTAACTGCTCACCCTGTATATATCTGACCAGAAGTATAACCGGTTTTAAGTCAAGAGGAAGCCTTACTTGCATACAAAATTTGAAGTTTTTGTCTTAAGCCGTTTTTGAGCTATCGCGTCAACAGACAGACGGCGGATGGCAGACAGACCGACGGAATGGGGAAAACATGTTTTCCGTAATCTAGGGACCCCAAAAAGTGAAAATCTAAAATTTCACGATTACAATACTTCCCTTTTACAATAAGTATACTCAATCTCTTAAATGCTCCTCTACTAATTTAAAGGTGATGTATCGGTCTCCTTAGAGTGTTGTTTGTATGTTGCCGGCTGGCTTTAAAGTCACACTATATATCTCTTGCTCCTACTATACCTATAAAACACAAAATTTTAATATTTTATAAGTATTGATTAAAACAAATTTGGTATTTTTTATTATTTTTTGTACTGTTTCCCAGTGCCACTTCACCCAACAATGAATGGTCGGAGTGGGGAATCCTACCTAATCATCAGAATTATTTTCAAATTCAAAAGGTAGAGTAATATTTATTTATTATTTTAGAAAACAATAATGTTAAATTCTGAATCAGTGGCGGCTGGTGCATAAATGCTGTAGAGCTGCAGAACTGTGAAAAATGCAAGTATTTCATCTACATTTCACAGAAAATATTTTTGACATCCTAAAATATATGTAAAATAAATTGTATGGATAATATAATCACAGTAATGACATGAACTTCAAATTGGTCACATCTGTCAAAGGTTATTAGGCTCATGAATTTTTATGAACGCTCTAGCAATAGGCTAAAAATTCATTTTAAAAAATCAACTACTTTTCAAAACAATCCTTTTAAATTGTAAAATCTATACTTATATATTCAGGACCTACAAAAAATAAATTACAATCTACTTTAAAGGTCAAAATTGGACATTCCAATCCTATTATTGAAGTATTTTTTATACAAACAGTTGAATTGGAGTAAAACAAAAAAAGAACATAAATCTTAAAAAATTTATTTAGAAACAATCACAAGAAAATTACTTATATGATCGGGCAACAGTTTTCTTCCAATCTTCATCCTTGTGACCAGGTTTTGTGTACTTCTTAACTTTGACTTTCTTAATTGTCCGTCTCTTTGTAGGAGCTAAAATATTCCTTTTTTGCATACTTTTAAATCTATCTTCTAGCAAATTTCCTTCAGTTTTTAAATTTTTCAAATTGCCTGCTATTTCACGACCAAGGTTAAAATCTAAATCAGGCTCTTCATATTTTAGGGCACTTAACACTTTTGTTCCATCTTTTTTAGCATCTTTATTATTTTTCTTAATTTCTCTAATCAAAACTTGTTTTTGATCAACTGTTTCAATTTGATTAACTAATTTTTTTAGGTTATGAAGGTCAGTAATTTTTTTCTTCTGCATTTTTAAATAACTTTTTGCCTTTTCCAATTTAATATGCTCCTTTTTCTTTCTTTTTTGTTGTAATGTTTTCTTAACATTTTTCACTGGTGGATTTACTGATTTGTATTCACCATCACTATTAGGTTCTTCTTCAATTTTAGTATTATTTTTACTTGGTAACCCCTCAGCCATATCGACTAACCAATTCTGATCCCGCTTCTCAGCTGTAACTTTAGAAAACATACCTCTTGTGACTCTATTGAGATGCTCTTCTTCCTTTATTAACTTTTTTTCTTTCTGTGCTACCTCCTGTAGTAAATCTTGATGATCTACATAGCTTGGATTATATGACATTCCTGAAAATAAACATGAACTATGAGGCTCCCAAGTATAATTATATTTTTTTATATTATAGAATAAATAATTATACCATATTTAAAGGGACATAGCTTAGGGTGAACTAGAGCCTTCTAGGGACTTATTGTTAACTGTTGGTGATATACAGAGCAGTGCAGAAGTGATGTTTTTATAGAAAACTGAAACACTGTTATCTGAAATAATTTCAGTTGAAAAGCTATAATTGTTCCAAACCAAGGCAATTTACAAGGCATCATTTTTTTTTTTCTCTAATGAAACAATTAATGGCACATGCCATCATTATTTCAAATGAATGGTCCCATTTAATTTATAAGAACCTTCAAGTGCTTATATCTTAGTTTATAGCTACTTTGGTTTTAGCAAGAAATATATTTAATTAATAAGATATAATAATCAAAATTTTGCACTTCATATAAAAAAAAATTGTATATTTCCTTACCTGGATGTGGCAGTTCAATAGCAGGTAATTTCGTTTTAATGGACTTGACATGCTTTTTAATTTGAACACCTACACCTTTCAAGTTATGTTTTGTAGTATTGGTTTCTACCCATTCTTCATTCTTTAGATTATCCTTATCTTCCCATATATTTGCATTGAATTCACCTCGTTTGGCAAAGTTTTTTAATTTCCTATCAATATTTTGACTTTCTTTACCTTTAGTAATTTTTCCACCATTTAATATTTGTTTTTCTTTTACAAATTTACTCATTCGTTCTTCTTTTGTTCTTACCCTGTTCCTTTTTGAAATGGGATCTGGAACATTGGTGTAAGACTGGAGAGCAGAAAAGCATTTTAAAGGTTTTTCGGCAGCTGCTTTTCTTCGTCTTCTAGATGATAAAATCTGTTCAGATGGTTTGGAATCTACTTGAAAAAGTGCTTCGTTTGATATAGTAGATAATGGCCCTATCCTTTCCTCCAATCTCTTTTCTTCTAAAAAATCTTCAACGTCTGTAATATTTGTATGTTTCCTCCATGAACTTTTTAGTTTCTTAGAAACTCTTTTTTTCTTTTTTAATAATGCCATTTTTGTCAAATTTTTTAATAAAACAAACTCAGTATGTTTAAAGAAAATCACAGAAGCACATTGTTATTAATTTTATAATTAACTAATTTTTTAGGTTATATCATTCTTCTTTCAAAAGAAAAACACTTCTGGCCTCTTGTCATCAGACATACAGGTTCACGTTCTTCTTTTACAGATCTCACGAAGTCACTTATCTTTAGTATTACAGATAAAAGTTGGACAAAGCGTATTTCGCTATTTCCATGATGTATATATTTACTGAAAGTATGAAAATTGATTCTGAAGCCCATGAAACTTTACATACACAGCACCAGCCCTGTAAATTTACATCATGCATATGCAGGAACAAAATTGCAGCACGCAGCTGACGCTAACTGACTGTTGACAATGTTGACACTGCTGATTGTTGACACTGTTGACAGATAAAAATAAAAAGCCTGAAGCCTGAAGAAAAGTAGCGTGGCTTTTCTATTTTCAATTTTCACTAGTTTATTTTTGATTCATTAGTGAATGTGAACTGAAAACATTTCTCTTTAATTATATAACTGTTTTGGTTGCAGTTATAACGTTATAAAATAAAACTGGGATTGTTGTAAATAACATTATATAAAAATGACAACAGACGAACGTTTACATATTGTAAGTATTTTAATATTTTATTTGCCTTATATCAGTGAATTATTTCATTTTACTCATAATAAATAATTCTTTTTAAGGACTGGGGTAACGAAAAGCTCCACAGAACTCAAAAGCAAGTGGAACGAAATCTATATGATTTGGAGTCTTGGTCTATATTGCTTAGAGAGGCACAGTCAAAACATATTTCTGAAGTAAGAGCATTATATGAACATCTGATCAACATATTTCCAAGTGCATCGAGATATTGGAGAATCTACATTGAGCATGAGGTAAGAGGAAGTATGCTTTAAGTTGCTGAAAAAACTGTATGATCAAAGGTGTATTGAGGGCTGGGTGTTCGAAAACCTCCTTTAACCAGGTTATAGAAAGGAATTTTTTGTAGATTATTATGGGAGATGAACCATGCATATTTGTAAATTTTTTAACATATTTATGATTTACATATACATTGTCACTTAATAATAATTAAAAAATAAATAATAAGGACTTATATGTGTACTGTCCTATAAAAATAACTAACCAAAGTATGCATTTACAGAACATTATAATATAATTACAAAGGTAAAATGTTTTTTCCAATTTGGGGAGTATATCAGTCAATTTACAAAGTCTTAAATAAATCTAAGTTAACAGAAACATATTATTTAGCTTTGAGTTAAAAAATACATGTAAGTTGCTTATATTTTTTATGTTTATTGGTATCTTAATAAAAGTTTTGGGTAATCTTGTAGTTGAAGGGTCTGGAAATGTACCTGTCTGCTCCATTCCTGTTCCTGCTAGTTCTGACAGTTGGAATCATTACATATAGTTGCCAGGTTATATTTAATTATTTGGAACCAGGGAATAAGCATATTGAAATAACTTATTTTACTTTTAATTATCCATTTGCCAATTTTTACATCGATTAAAAATCCCATAAAAATAAAAAAATGTTCTGAAGATTTTCTAGACCTGTCAACTGCAAGATTACCAAATTTTTGGAGCAACTGTGGTTACAAATCATTGACATGCATCATGTTAATATGTTGGTGTCATCAAGCTGTTATTTGACTTGGATCTTGTATTGTTGGGATGCGTAGCAGTACAAAAGTTTGGTTCTTTATATAATAATAGCATTATTCACATTTATACAGTTATTTATTATGAAATTTTCAAATATTAAAAAACAAAAATGGTCAACTGTCTGCATGACAATCAGATACTCATTTTAGCTTGTGCACATGAAGTTCATGTGATCATTATATCTCTTCAGTTTGATGACCAGGGTTGGAATAAACTTTAGAATTAACAAATTTATAATTAGGTTTTTTAAGGTTTTAAGTTCTTATATGTAAAATGTTATTATTACTATAGCAAAACTTATATTAAAAAGTGGAAAATAAATAAATGGTATTTTTTTTATTGTCACTATCAATATCATTATCAAAAAGTTCCAGTGGTATAACCTTTGATAAAATATTTATTTCTATATACACTAATTTTTGCACCATTTCTCATAAGAGTTTATTAGTAAAATTGTGAATTTTCAACAAAAACATATTTGATTATTACCTAGGTATCTCCCTAACTGCAACTGCTTTATTTTTATAAAAGGGGATGAAAAATTTTAAATATATGTTTTCATTAGCAACATTTTATATTATAATATGGTTTTGTTTTATTTTTCAGATGAAAGCACGAAATTTTGAGAGAGTGGAGAAGGTATGGCTAAGTTCAATAAAATTAAGTAATGTTTTTTCGAAATTTAAAAAATACTTAATAAAATTGACCTGTTTAAAATTTAATAATTCTTTATTCTTTTAAATTCTATGATGTGTTCAGAAATCAGGAGGCAAATTTTTAATCTTCTCTATTGTTAAATGTTAAAAGAAATATATTTTGGATTCAAATGTTTCATAAAATTGTTATTTTTTTTTAATTAGATTAAATTATGGTAGATTAAAAACTTTCTTTCTGATTTATTTTCCCTTTTTTAATTAAAGAATAAGTAAAGAAAAGCATTTGGTAAAGTCTTTTAGAACACTCTCTTGTACTAACCAATTCGTATCCTTGAAATAATTAATAAATACAATATTTCAAACTTCTTACATTAGTACAATGCGAGGAATTTTTTGAGCCATCATGCATCTGTTAAATAACCACATAAATAATTACTTTTGATTTCATTTCGTTATCACGATCATTACAACCTTTTATTCTCATTGGGTTTTCATTACCAATTAGTAGGTCTAGGTACCTATTCACACCATCAATGCAAAATTAACACTATTAGAACAGATAATTTTAGCTTACTAAAGTTGCCCCGGCCAGAACAAGATTTTAACAACAAGATCTTTGTTGTTCTGAAAGTGTATCCAGTAAAATTTGTTTTTTGTTGTTTACAACCTTATTTAGGGAAGGTAGTCAATTATTTTCTTTATTTCGCTATATTTTCTGTCTCGATCAACTCAAAAGTGTTACAGTATAAAGGTCTCATTTGGCTACACTCCAATAGTGTGGGTTCATTACAGATTTCATAGTATATATGTACATTTTTCAACTTTCTAAGACAACGTTCAGTTAACTAGACCTAGACTTAATATATTATGGGTGTACCTACATTATAAAAATCAAAATAATTTTCAGAATTTAGTAATATTTCTTTATTTTTTTTTTATTACTTTTACGACTAGTAGCGATGTTAAATACTAACAAATACAACATAATCATAAAAAATAACTTATTTGGACGTAAATGATACCTCAAAAAATTCCTTTTGTACCAATCTTGTTTAAAAAAAAAGTTGTTCTTATTGTCTTTATCCAATGTTTAAAAGTTATTAAACATTTTTGATAATACATTTTATCATGTTATTTCATGTATAAACAAATTTTTATCCTATGACTTTTTAATAGTTAAAAAGAAATATGAGGGTAAACATCTAGATATAATGTAAGATACTGGCATGAATAAGCCTGTCTGTCCATATGTTTTTCCCAGTGAGTTAATAAATAATTGACACTTTATGGCGCATCCGATTGAAATATTTTTCTTGATTTTTTATGGTATATTGTGCTAATTTTAAAAATACAAGGTGCCAATTGGTACTTTGATCGGAAATTGAACCGCAAAAAATATAAATGAATGTTTTTATTCATAGTTGGGATTCTTTTTTTTAAATCCAAAGTCATAACTGAGTTATTTGGTATTTGCCGTCATGACAAATTATTTAAAAATTATTTTAATCATATAATCTCTCATCTAACTGCAAAAATTGGCACGTCGCGTCGTGTTTTTGCTTGCTATTTGTAGTTACGTACAGGCGAGGTAGGTGAACAACATGTACTATATCCCGATGGTGGGAGCTGTCGTGTGTCCTGTCAAATTCAAAGTAAAGCTGTTTATTGATGGATTTTATGTTTTTTGTTAGCAATCAAATATGCTTCTAGATATCTATAACAAGCCTTTTCAGTCGTCCAGTTTTGCTTCTTCGGTGTAAGGATTTCGGCCACGTGACCGGATATTTACGTTTTTCAACGAAATTCGAGATACAGTTTAAACACGGTTTTTCTAAACTTAAGATGATATTCCAACCGTTTTTTTTGTGACGCCGAAAGGTTTGATTTAAAAAAATTGTAACTTTGAAATAGGTGTAAAATGGGAACCAAAATTTGAAAAATGGTTTAATTGCTTTTAAAATCTTTGTATGAATCTAAACTAAGAGTATTGCTCTTGCAAGAATTTTTTTATTCAGTAGTTCTACCCCATTCTCCACAAATAAAACTATTTTTACATTTTTTCCTAGAAAACCTAGGTTGAATAGAAGGTTGAATGGTTGAAAGTGGTTTAATTGCTTTTAAAATGTTTGTAAGACTCTAAACTAAGAGTATTGCCCTTGCAAGAATTTTTTATTCAGTAGTTCTACCCCATCTTCACAAATAAAACTATTTTTACATTTTTTTCTAGAAAACCTGGGATGAATAGAAGGTTGAATGGTTGAAAGTGGTTTGCTTTTAAAATGTTTGTAAGACTCTAAATTAAGAGTATTGCCCTTGCAAGAATTTTTTATTCAGTAGTTCTACCCCATTCTCCACAAATAAGACTATTTTGACATTTTTTTTCTAGAAAACCTGGGATAAGTAGAAGGTTGAATGGTTGAACTACTGAATAAAAAAATGTTTGCAAAGCAATACTGTTATTTGAGTGTCACACAAACATTTTGAGAGCAACTAAACCACTTCAAGTATTTAACATTCTATTCATCCCAAGTTTTCTAGAAAAAAATGCCAGTCTTAATTTATGGGGTAGAAGTAATGAATAAAAAATAATTTAGTAGTCATACAAACATTTTGAGAGCAATTAAATCATTTGTAGACTTTTGGTTCCGATTTTATACCAATTTTAATGTTACAATTATTTTTTTTTTAATAACCCTTTTGCAGACATGAAAAAATGCTTGCATATGTGTCATTCATCCAAACACAATTCGGTTACAGAGAAAACCCAACTGTAAAAATTCAAATGACAATACTTAGAAAATATCAAAGTCCACGTACTAGTCGTAAGACTTCAGTGGAGATATTTATTTTCCATCTTCATTTGGAAAAGATATGTATAAAAAAAAATTGTATGTAAATTGTAGAATTTGGGAAATAAAATTATTATTATTATTATTATTAAACTTACTAAAAAAAGTTTGAAATTGAAAAGGTCGAAAGTGAGAAAAGTTCGAAAGCAAAAAATATCGAAATTAGAACAAATGATCGAAATTATATATTTAATGGGTCGATTCTGAGCCAATCTTTAAGATCTGTAAGCCAAAACCATTACTATACCTTACAGATTCTGTAGCTTATAGGATATTTCCCAGAATCCTACCATAAAACTACTAATGATCGAAATAAAGCAAAATATTATGAAATTAGTTGTTTTTTGTTTTTTTTTATGTATACTACAATTTTACTATTGAGAAAGTTATTGAAATAAATGTTTATAAATTTATCTCTCTGTAGATCACCCAAATCAGATTTTAAATTGTTCACTTATAGGTTATATGACCTTTTGTGTTTTTACTATAACTCCTCTAGATATTATGCTGTATGCTGTGATATGAATGTAGACTTACTTATTAATAGTAATGAAACAAAATTACTTATGAATATTTTTAGGGAATTTGGCCTGTACAACATTGTTACAAAACCAACACGGGTCACCAGTATTAGATCAACTTTAGTTGATCCACTTTTTACAAATATTGAATATAAAAATATTATTGTTCAAAATAGTTTCCTATCAGACCATTCACTACAACTCTGTGAATTCAACTTGCAAATAACAAATCAGGTAGAAACTACACAATCTTTTGTTAGGGATTTAAGTGACTGTAACAAGCTTATCTTTAAAAATATAATTATTAACCAGTCATGGGAAGACATGTATAACTCATCTGAGTTCAATAACAAATATAACAGCTTTTATTCGACTTTTTTGTACCATTTCAACAGCGCTTTTACATTAAAAAAAATTAAACCTAAACGACACAAAAATAATGTTTATAACGACGCACCGCTGTGCCGGTCGGTGTGGGGGGTGTTAGGTTTTTTTTCGTTACGGAACTTCTCGATTCGGTCGCCGCGCTCAAAGCCCGCGATAAAAGCTATGCAATAGCTTAATAATTTTAAAATAACTAAGATATGTTTGCTCTTTATTCTGGTTAAACACCTAGGTTGAGATTACAGAACGTCTGCAACTTTGCAAATATGGCGCCAACTTTGAAAATCTGCAAATATGACTGACTTACACATGCAAATATCAAGTTTTCGTATTCCAAATTTGGGTTTAGGGTTGTTGGGGGTAATAAACCACAATAAATATTGCGAATTTGCAGATATTTTTTGGAATACTTGCATTTGTAAGTCCGCCATATTTGCAGATTTGCAGATCTGCAAAGTTGCAGACGTTCTGTAATCTCACTCCTAACCGATTAGATCATTAAATTGAAGCATGGCCTGTTAGCTTAGATGGTTAGAGCGTCAAACTTATCAACTTTGCCATTTGAGACCTGGCGAGCGACCGCGTTCAAATCCGGGCGGGGCCAGAATTTATTTGTTTTTTAATTTTTTTTTTTAAAATGTAATATACTATATAAATCTTGCAAAAAAAATTTATATCTAATATTTACGCCAGCCGGGAACATTTGTGATACCAATTTATTAGAAGCCAGAGAAAGCTCTTTTAGTTCTTGTATTGCATAAACGTTCCAGTCCGCAGACGTATATTTTACTCCGCTTCATACTAATACGAATAGGGTCGGATAAAACCTTCTACGGGTTTTAACGCAGCACCGCTGTGCCGGTCGGAGTGGGGGTGTTAGATTTATTTTCGTTAAGGTGTTACGGAATTTCTTGATTCGGTAGCCGCGCTCAAAGCCCGCGATAAAAGCTATGCAATAGCTTAAAAATAATTTATTAATTTCGTAATATTATAATGCTTTCGATCTTATACCATTTCATACAGTGTGGAAACCACTTATGGAATAAAATTCTTTATGTCATTATTTTAGAAAATTGTAAAAAATGCCGAGACACGTCAACTTTTGAATTGAGTTGTGCGTTATGTAAACATAAATTTAAATGTACAGGGTGATTCACGCAAGTATGCCATAGTCGGTGTTGTTTTTTTTTAATGAAACACCCTGTATATTTGCATATTTTTAAAATCCTCTTAATGAACTGATTCCAATAAACTAAATAATGTATGTATGCAAATATACAGGGTGTTTCATTAAAAAAAAAAAAACAACACCGACTATGGCATACTTGCGTGAATCACCCTGTACATTTAAATTTATGTTTACATAACGCACAACTCAATTCAAAAGTTGACGTGTCTCGGCATTTTTTATAATTTTCTAAAATAATGACATAAAGAATTTTATTCCATAAGTGGTTTCCACACTGTATATTTATCATTTCAATAATTGGTACGTTCAAAAAAAAGTGTTTTCAATCATATATGATTTTTTTGGATTTTTTGTTTCGATCTTCTCTCACTGACGACACGTTTTTTTTAACACTGTATTCAATTGCAACGCCTCGTTTAATAACGAAATAAAATGTGGAAAAGGAAATGTTTGTTGACTTAATATTCTTTTAACTGCATCTCTTTGTGAAATATTTGGATTTTCTTATTTAAGACTAGCAAATATATTTAAAATGACCTGTTGAACTTGAATATGTAAGTCCTGATTTTTGAATTCCCAGAATTGTGTTTCACCTTGATTGTCATTAGTATGAATTGCATTATCAATACGTATTTCACCATTAATTTGTACTTCATTATTATTCTGAATTTCACTATTTATTGTAATTTCATTATTAATGGAAATATCATCATTAACCTGCAATACATTAGCGTCTACATTTATCTGAAAAGGTCTCCAGAAAGCCATCTCGTACAACACAAATCAAAATTTAACGAATTACGATTGCAGTTAATTGAACAAGTCCCATATTCACCAAACTTATAACCAATTTCTTCCTTTTCAAATCTCAAGAAAATATTAGCAAAAAGAAATTCTCATCGAACCTGTTAATAATGGATATTGAGAAGATTTCAGTAGTTCCTAGTCTTTTTAAGGGTTGAAAGGTCTTGAAAAGTGTTGGACTAAATTTGTAAAGATGAAAGGAGACTATGTAGAAAAATAAATACAATTTTCCCCATTAAGTTTTTTTTTTCGTCTCGTTCCAGACATTTTCTAATAATGAAAACTATTTTTGAACCCACGAAATGAAAACAAATTTAATGAAAAATTATGTCGCGGGCTGGGATTTAAACCCACCTATCATAACAATTCCGCTATCAGTACAAGTTTTTAATATTTTGTAGGATAATTTTGTTAAATTAATTTGGGGATTGTAACGTATACAAAAATAGATCAAAAAATACAGTGAAAAATCGGTTTAAAGTACGAAAAAATGATGGGTTATTGATCCGAAAAGAAAGGCATTTATAGAATATAGTAGGCGGGTGACCAAAATATGAACTGTGATTGGTCAATTTTAATTTTTTTGCAGTGTTTTTACTACCTAGAATTGATATGAAATATATTCGTTCAGTTGCAGAGCTGGGCAAAATACTTTTTGAAAGTATTTAAATACTAAATACTTTTTCATAAATACGGTTATTTAAATCTTGAATACTTTTTTAAATAAATACCTACAGTATTTAAATACTTATGCAGTATTTAAATGCTTAAAAGTATTTAAATATCATAATAATAAAACAATTATGTAATTTTCTTAAAGGCCTAACACCAATATTAGAGTACATAGCTAATAAATACAACAGAAAAAATATTTTATCCTTTCAGTACGTTTAAAAAATTTGGTATGTTAAAAAATATAAACAGGGTGTGCACAAATTTCAAGGGGTGAATCCCCAATGAAAAATAAGAAACAAATATCATATGAAAATATGTCACAAACGTCTTAACTTTTGGACACCATAATTTTGCATTGTTATTGAGTTTAGATATGTTTATCAAATTTCAGCTGATTCCGATAACATGAACTGGTTCAGCATTGAACAAATTTAGTTTCACAGGAGGTTCTGGGTAAAATACTTTTATTAATTTAGATACCTTAAAACTGCACTATCAATTACCACCCAGTTCTGAGCTATGTTTAAAATATAAAACTTTAAAATACTGCCCAGCTCTGTTCAGTTGAATGCGATAACATACTTTTTCGTTTTGTAGTCTGTGCGTAGATAAGCTAATATCCATGTGGGTGAAGAAAAATTACTATTTCTTCCCATACACACCTTTTTTTTTATTATCCTATCCAACAATGAACAACTACTAGACCAATTTCCCTTACAAAAGGCAAGTTGCATACATTCACGTTATTATCCACATAGTTGCCAAATTTATTACGGAATAATCTATGTACAAGGATTTTTTGTTTTAATTCTTAATTTACTTAACAAAATGCTCTAAAACGCACAAAAGACTTTCAAAATTATATTATGAAAGTATATCTTATTCTTAATTTCAATTATCAGTTTATTGTATTTTTCTGGTTACAGTTATTGAAAATGATTTTCAGGAAAGTACACCATTTATTTTTCAGTGTATATACAGTCTAAAGCAGGCGTTGTATTCGTAGGTACTGGTTCAGTCTTAACACGCGTGCTTGCAAACGCAAACGCTATCCCCACTCAATTTAGTAAGGCGTCTCGCTTTTTCTAATGCGTTTGCCGAACCGGCAGTTCCAACATAAAACACGAACTACATACTTTCAAGTAGATAAGTGCTTACTTATAAATGAAGGGATTAGTCTAGTAGTTGTTCGTTCTTGATCTTATCAAACAGCTTAGATATTAACTGCTAAAGAACCTATGGGACACTCGTTATATCACATCTACATTTTTCAAAATTTATCGACATTTCTGGATTTTTTTTTGCCTCTACCCTAGTTGTAGGTAATTAATAAAGTTTGTAATTAATGATAGTTCACATTAATATTTGGGAGAATCTTGGAGGATCTTCCTATGTCTTTTGTGTCAAAGAAGGTGCAGTGTGCAGATGAGTATTTTAAAGGTTATTTGGGTGATCTTGGGGGAACTTTTAGAGTAGAGTTCCAAAACTTTAATCATCTTGAATGCAGGGGCGGCTTGTGACCAAAATTTTGGGGGTTCACAGTAGCAGAATGTAGATCCCGGTACAGATATAGGTAAAAAACTGTCAGTGTTTTAGAAAGGTATATTATAAACACTGAAAGTTTTTTCATACATCTGTACTGATACCTATATTCTGTCACTGTGAACCCCCCACGAGCCGCCACTGCTTGAATGTTGGAAAATATGTGTAATCAAAGTGTATGGCTAAGAATTTCTAAAATAATTCTGACCTACACTATACAATTCTCCATAAAGAAAGTGCGGTGTTTTTTCCTATCTAAACCATTGTATTCAAAAAAATAAAGACGATTTTTTTAATAAACGTTTAAAGTGAACTTTATAGTTTTTATTACTAGAAATATTAGTCCGTCTTTATCTAAACATTAATACAAAATTAATTTGTGATTTTACTTAAATCTTTTGGCAGCTCTTTCAAAGATGTTTGATGAAGATTTTAAATATCGAATTATGGAAGTTATATCTCAACTATGTCAAAGAAACAAAAGCGTCTCTACCTACATACAAGTAAGTATATTGCCTTTATTTTTTATTACTAGATTAGTAGTATTTGTAATCTTTACAGTATTAACTGCATGTTTTAAGCGTATCACAATCATTGTAATTGCTCAATAACTACTATAGGCGCCGATTTTTGTTGAGGGGGTATTTGAACTGTTCAAAATTTTTCTTGGAAATTAGTGTAAATTGATTTTCCTAACATGTAAAGGTTGGTGAATTCCAGACATGGGGGTCTATTCTGTAACAATTCATTTATATTTAACGGCCTTTAAAAATATTGGCGGTCTTTAAAAACATTTTCGTATTCGTTAATTTACTTCTGTCATTATTTAAATAGATTTCTTTAAGATAGTCCTCTAATGTATTTTAAAGATTCGTTTAAATAATGACAGAAGTAAAGAAGAAAATATTTTTAAAGGCCGTTAAATATAAAGGAATTGTTACAGAATAGACCCCATGTTCACTTTTTTCATAAAATGCAAATAATACAAATTCCGGGTTTTTTTCCTGAATTATATCGATTTCTGACATCAGAATCTTTCAAAAGTACACATAATACATTTAAATCTGCATGTAAATATCAATAGTTCAAACAAAATTGGACATGTCCAAATTAAAAATGTGTCAGCATAGTTTCAGTGAATCAATCAGAACAAGAGCCAATTATACTTTGAACAGCTGTATTTATTAGTGAATGTGAGTGTATTGTATTAAGTTTTTTATACTCTAATCCAAATAGTGAGACCAATCATCACTTATGGAGCTGCAGCCTGGAGTAACAGAACTAGTTTAGCTACTACGAGAGCTAATATCTCTAAGTACAAAGACTAGCCTGTGTTTGCATCACAATGAAGATGATCTTAAACTTCACCCCTCTACAATTAATGATAGAGAACGTTGCAGAAAGAACAGGAACGGAGTAATCAGATGAGTCTATTAGCTTCAGAACCGAAGATACTTAGGATATGCCCCAGGAAGAAATGAGAAAGAAGTACAGTTTTGCAAAATACTTCAAAACCACAGAGCTGCAGGAAAGTATGTAGCTATTGTGCTTGCCACCGAAAAACATGCAATTCAGTGGTATATGGCTGGTTCCGAAACCTTAGAATCAACTGGAATAGGAGTGTATGGACCTTGAACCAGACCAAAGTTTGGGTAAATACCTAAGCATCTTCCAGGCGGAAATTCACGCCATTGAGAAATGTATTTAGTTCAACATCGAGAGAAACTTTCGGCAGACAAGATATTATCATCATGTCCGATAGATAAGCAGCCATCACAGCGCTGAGCTCTTATGTAATCAGCTCAAAAATTGTCTGGAGTCTACAGTTACTTTCACTTGGGCCCTGGGACATAACAGGGTAAAGGGTAACGAGATTCCAGATAGTCTCGCAAGGAAAGGGACTCAAAGAACCTTTGTGGGACCTGAGCCGTTCTGCGGTATTAACAGTAACACAATGCAAGGAGAGATTAAAAAATAATTGGGCAGTAGAAGAACCGATAATTGGAAGAATCTCTTGGGACTAAGGCAGGCTAAGATATTTCTGTGTGATCACACATATTTAGTAACTCGTGATTTGATAGTGTAAGAACTGCTTTATTTCTAGTTGTATTGTCACTACCGCTTCTCTTTTTCTTTTTCTATTATAGTTATTTTAGTCAATGTATTCTTTCAAATACAAACTTAATAATAATAATAATGTGTATATCTTATATTAGTAATTAAATATTTTTGTAAATTATGGAAGCAAAATACTTTTCCTATCTGGCATGTAAAGGATATAATTGGCAACAGCGCATCTGATCGTCGTGCCGTTGCCGTTATATACTCTTAAAGTATGGCTATGACAGGATAAAATTTGTAAAAATCGATTTGAATCTCAAATTAATGTATCACAGACAATATGGATTTAGTCACCCCCTTATGAGTGAATTTTAACCTCAAAGGCTGAGCTTGTCCGAGGAAAGGGACAGCTATTATTATTATTTGTCGTGGCACTCCGGGGCGACTTATAGATTATTGATGGTGCCATTTGACTTACAGGTGAGGAAAACCCGGAAAACCTCACCCACCACCATGTTTATTTTAATAGAAGAAACATCCATATTTGGCATGATGAAAATCCTCATGGTGTGGTCCACAATTTTCTGTAAACATGTGGGTTGGTATTGTTGGAGAGAATAGTTCAGTTGCTGCCTGCTCGTTTGAACGCAGACATTTATCTCCATTTTCTGCAAAATGTTTTGCTTCTATTGTTAGAAAATGTCCCTTTAGACAAGTGGTTTCAACATGACGGGGCACCTCCACATTTTGATTTGAACGTGCGTCAGTATTTAGACCAGTGAATTCCTCGTCGATGGATTGGAAGAGGCCCTGTAGCCTGGCCCGCGTGTTCTCCAGATTTAAACCCCCTAGATTTTTTCCTTAGGGGTTATCTGAAATATTTAGTCAACAAAACGCTTATTTGTAATGAGGAAGTAAGAAAATGGCTAGTTTTAAGTATGTAAAAGCCATTCCAGGAATATTTTATGCCAGTCAATGAATCCACCGGGTGCAATTATTGCATTGAAGCAAATGGTCAATAATTTGTATATTAATTATTTATCACTGAAATTAACAAAACTGACCAAAATAATTTTTACTTTTTTCTGCACATGGCCCATTTGCGAACATATATTTATCACCCCTTATAGTGTGTCGGTATGTTTTTTGGACACCATGTTATCAAATTGGGTCTGTGAACTTGGCACCACAACATTGCAAAACGGGTCAAAAATGTGTGAGAGGTTTGCCCATCGTTTGACCATTATTTTTTTCATATCAAATAAACACACATAAATGCACTATTTTAGTTTATGCCCCCCTATTGAACGAGGATTTTTTTTAAAAATGGACAATACTCAGTATACCTTTCTTAGTAACTTACACATATTTTGGAATCATTTTGATGTTTGCCCATTTTTTTTATATCAAATAAAAACACAGAAATACACTATTAGTAGAGATTAAGCCCCCTTATTGGACAAGGATTTTTTTTAAAATGAGCAGTCCTCAGAATATATCTCGAATACGGTCCATTTTAGAGAAATTATGCATAGAATAAAAATTATAGAGAATTATATTACAAATAACTTTTATTTGAACAATTTTTATAAAAAAATTAATTTTTTTACATTTTGTCTCGAATACGGACCATTTTAGGAAAATTTTATATAGAACAAAAATTATAGATAATAATATTGTAAGTAACTTTTATTTGAAGAATTTTCTTCTCCAAACGTAAATAACGAATATATTCCATAAAATATAAAAATGACCACCAGTAAAGTACCCCTCCAAATGTTCCGACTCTGTCCAAAATCTAATCAGTTCACCGCAGGCCGGAATAAAGCTTAGGTTTCAAATTTGGTGTTTTTCTTTGTATCGGTTCATGAGTTATGGTGGATACAGACACACACAGACTGACACACACACACACACACACACACACACACACACACACACACACACACACACACACACACACACACACACACACACACACACACACACACACACACACACACACACACACACACACACACACACACACACACACACACACACACACACACACACACACACACACACACACACACACACACACACACACACACACACACACACACACACACACACACACACACACACACACACACACACAGATTGACACACACACACACAGACATCATCGCGAAAATAGTCAAAACGGATTCAGGGGACCTCAAAACGTAAAAATTCGTCGAAAACTCGAGGTCGAAAAAAATCATGATTCCTATACTTTCCTTATATCTGTATACAGATAGGAAAGTAAAAATAGAAATATTTTCGAAGTTTAAGCCCCCTTATTGGACGTAGATTTTTTTAAATAATGGCAATCCTAAGAATACATCTCTTAGTAACTTACACTTATTTTGAAAATAACTCATGAACCGATACGCAGAAAAACACCAAATTTTAAAACTTAAGCTTTATTCCAGCGTCTAATCAACTGATTAGATTTTGGGCAGAGTCGGAACATCTGGGGGATACTTTATAGGTGGTCATTTTTATATTTTATGGAATATATCTGTTATTTACGTTTGGAGAAGAAAATTCTTCAAATAAAAGTTACTTCTAATATAATTATCTATAATTTTTGTTCTATACAAAATTTTCCTAAAATGGTCCGTATTCGAGAAATTTGACAAAATGTGCAAAATTCTGATTTTTAATGAAAATTGTTGAACTAAAAGTTGTTTGCGATATCGATCTCTATAATTTTTGTTTATACACGATTTTTCTAAAATGGACCGTAATGGAAAAGTGCTAAATTTAAATTTTTCAGTATTTTCGTTTTCAATGAATATTTATAGAAAAATGTTTCGAGGTAGATGTATGTGGACAATGTATATATTTAGTTTATCCTCTAAACATTTATAGAAATGCTACAATAGGTTGTACAAAATAACCGGAAAAAGCCTATAATAACTAGATAGGAAAGTCATGTGTTGGACACATCAGATTTTTTTATATCAAATAAAAACACAGAAATGCACTATTATTGGAGATTAAGCCCCCCTATTGGACGAGGATTTTGTTTTAGAAAATGGGCAATCCTCAGAATACATCTCTACTTACTTTTAAAAAATTTTGGTGTTTGCCCATTTTTTTATATCAAATAATCACACATAAATGCACTATTATCGGAGTTTAAGCCCCCCTATTGGACAAGGATTTTTTTATAAAATGGGCAATCCTCAGAATATATTTCTTAGCAACTTTCAATTATTTTGATAATTGCCCTTTTTTTATCAAATAACAACTCAGAAATGCACTATTAGCAGATATTAAGCCCTCCTATTGGACAAGGATTTTTTTTAAATGGGCAATCCTCAGAATACATTTCTTAGCAACTTTCAATTATTTTTGAATTATTTAGATGTTTGCGCATTTTTATATCACTAATAAACACATATAAATGCACTATTATCGAGTTTAAGCCCCCCTATTGGACGAGGATTTTTAAAAAAATGGGCAGTCCGCAGAAAACATTTTTTAGAAACTGACAAATATTTTGGCGTTATTTCGATGTTTGTACATTTTTTTTATAACAAATAAACTCGTATAAATCTCGGATAGTGGAATTGTCATCAAATCCCTTTTTTAATAATCGTTATGGAAATTTGTGAAGCAAAAAATGGGCAAACATGGACTAACGAATGATTATCTAATGCAGTTATCATATTGCATTTTTGTGAATATTTTTTTTATTTTCTCTAAATTTTTTTTCTGAAAAAACTAATTTATTGGCAAACGAAATGATATTATGCCGTGAAATTAAATTATGAAAATTTTAACTTTTGTCTGGAAGTTGGCCCGCGAAAATTATTTTCGTTATATTGTGAAAACAGAGGGTGGGCAAAAAAAGTTATATAATGGACAAACGATGGGCAAACCTCTCACACATTTTTGACCCTTTTTTGCAATGTTGTGGTGCCAAGTTCACAGACCTTATCAAATTGTATAAATCCTTTCATTTTTTACATTGATGTAAATCTTTGTATTCACCATTTTTTTCCTTTCTTTCTATTTCCAAATCTGATACACTATCTACGCATTTTTTCAATGTTTATAGTTTCTTGTATTTTTATTTGTATTTGCTATTATGTAAACCTGAAAGCTCAAGATTTAGATAGTAGCTTTAAACTAACCTTCGCCTTGTAGGTTCAAATATCCTCTACATTTTCTGAATAGACATTTTATTATACAATTCTTTATTTTAGGGAGAAAATGGCACAAGCATATGATTTCGCCTTGGATAGAATCGGTATGGATATTCATTCTTATTCCATTTGGAATGACTACGTAAACTTTTTGAAAGGCGTAGAAGCCGTAGGATCATATGCCGAGAACCAGAAAATATCTGCCGTTAGGAAAGTGTATCAACGGGGTATAATAACTCCGATGACGGGCATGGAAACGTTTTGGAAAGATTACATTGCGTTTGAACAGGTAATACAGTTGTCCTTTCTACAGGTTCTCGGTTAATTTATTTTATTTATTTCGAAGAAACCAGTATCAATCTTGAGGATTTAAATATTGCTGGGGAACAACGATTTAATGAAACTAAACTTTTTATATTTTTAGAATATCAATGCTATTATTGCCGAAAAAATGAGTATTGAAAGAAGCAGAGATTACATGAATGCTAGAAGAGTAGCTAAAGAACTTGAGGTACAAATAAGAGGTATAAACAGAAATGCTCCAAGCATTCCTCCTAGTGGAACTCCTGAAGAAAGAAAGCAGGTAAAATTAATATAATTATTATTAAAGTATATTTTGCATAAATATATCATTTATAAATGTATTAGTATCTAACTCAATGTATAGAGCGGTCGTTTATTACTGGCCTTTAGTGGAAAGCGACATGCTACTTCGAATCCCAAAGCAAACCATGTGAATTTTTAATTAATTCATTTCATAATTAAATTTCTGTTCAAACGATATCGAGATTTACAATAGCAGTGAGTTTTCCTTACTTAATCATCTCCATTACTCATAAGATCTTCAAATGGCGATTTTAATTTACCACAAATAAAGTGGTTTACATATACTATCAATAATTACTACTATAGTGATCCCAGTTCTAGTTTATTGGTGGGCTGGTATGTATCAATATAATTCTACTGTTAACGTAAGCGGTAACACTTTAGATCTTGTTTTAAATAATAATTTTTTAATAAAAAATATAAAGTCTACTATACCACTGGTTGCTGAGGATCCACCGAAAGTAAATAATCATTATGAAAAAACTTCAGTTTAGCAAACTACACTGAAATAAATCATCTTCTATCTGCAATTGACTGGAATAAACAATTGTACTATATTATTGTATAATCTGGTGGACACTTTTTTGGGCTGTGTCCCGAATAAAAATAAAAGAATCTTCGATATTAAATTCAATATACGATGTAAATGGTATGGTAAGCTTCAATATAGATTAGAGAGTCTTCATGAACTGTCTGCTGCTCCCTCATGATTCCCCAATAGGATAATTTCTCTTTTTATTTGTTGTCTTATAGACTGCGAATTTTAGATGATTCTTCTTATTGTATTTTTAATTTTATTTTATTCATTTCGGATTTTTTTATCATACTTAATAAACTAACCACTGATATCTTTACAAAAACTATTTGTTTCTCTTGTAGGTTGAACTGTGGCAAAAATACATAGCTTGGGAAAAAAGCAATCCTTTAAGAACTGAAGATACGGCTTTGCTTACAAAACGTGTAGTTTTCGCTTTAGAACAGTGCTTACTTTGTCTTGGACATCATCCTGATATTTGGTACCAAGCTGCTCAATTTCTGGAATACAGCTGCAAAATTCTAGCTGAGAAGGGGGTAAGTAGTACACCATTTAATAAAAGTTTGATGATACTTTCTTAGTGGAGATAGATCGTAGATTTAGGAAAAAGGAAAAGGTTACAATAAATGTATTTTTTTATAATTATACTATTTTGATAATTCTAATGCTTATTTCTGTAAGAGTCAATAATTTCTTTAACTTATGAAATGCAGAATTATTGATAGAGTTCTCAAAAGGAGAGAAAAAATCGTTATTATTAATTTTGCGACGAAAAATTTTGCTGATCGAAAAAATAAGATTACTATATAAAAATCTTAGATCAGAGGTACAAGGCGTGAATAAATTAATAAAAAATGCCAGGGATGAAGAGAGAAGTGCCATTATTTATTATTTAAAACAAAAGTTTTTTAAAAGAAAGTTATTTAAAATTAAAAAAAAAATCAATAATTTTTGCATTTGTGTGTGTCTAAATAAAAAACTAAATAATTTAGGCAATAGTGGTATTTAAGCGAAAATAATGACAAACATTTCGAATATTGCACTTTTTCTCAAATTTCTCCATTACGGTCCATTGTAGAGAAATCATGTATATGACCAAAATTATAGAGAAGAACATCACAAACAACTTTTTTTTAAAGAATTTCCTTCTATAATCCTAAATAACCAAAATATACCTAAAAATTAAAAAAAAAATGTTACTAAAAAAAACATATTTTGATAATAACCCGACAAAATCGTTTTTCTCTATCAAAAATTTTCTATAAAAATTGTATTTTGATTCAAAAACAAAAATCATAAGGTTAGATCTTAGACTATGTAGTTGTGCAATTATTTACAGTATTTAACAAAAATCAACTTAACCGATTTAGTAAACGATTTTTAGTTGAAAATTTGTATTGAATTACAAACAGCTTTCTTTTGTAAACATTTCACTTAAAATAAGAAATAATAATAATAATACACTCTAATCTAAGATTTTTATACGGTAATTTTAACCGACTTCAAAAAAGGAGAAGGTTCTCAATTCGTCGCGATTTTTTTTATGTATGTTCAGCGATAATTCTTTAACACGGTGTCCGATTTCAATGATTGGTTTTTTGTCAAAATCTAATAATTGGGTCCATGAGAAATTCCTCAAACACTTCATTTTTCATGTATGCTCAGCGATAATGCTTTACCAGCTTGTCCTATTTATATGATTCTTTTTTTGTTAGTAAGGGGGTACCTCAGGGGTGGTCCCATATAAATTTGGATAAGATGTGGTGACGGCATCTGCACGTTTTTGAAGTCGGTTTTTTAAATTTTTAATTTCTAATACTTGTAACGATAATCGTGTATCTCACCTGTATAAAAAAATTGTGAAATTCTATTTATTTTCTCTTTGTTGTAATATTATCAGAGTGATTATCTTGTTTTATCTGTGCTATAATTCCACAGAAAAAAGCATCGAAAAGAAAATTTCCATTATGGTTCTCCCTAGAGTTACAGCAGCTGACAATATTGAAAAAACAAGCTTACAAGTTCAGGATTACAAAGCGATTATCTTAACTATAGTAAATTACGTTCCGATTGTAAAACTTTATCAATAAGGTGCTATCAATAGTTTATTGTAAATTCTGAGTCTTCTATAACATAAAACAGTTTTGGAACGGGAATGATTTACCACCATTGCTATTCTTTAATGATAGTCAATGTCATTTGGGACCAGATTTACCCGATCTTTTTGCAGAATACATCCCGTCAGTATATACTGATAAGAATATTGATCCTCAAAGTAAACCGTCTCTTAATCACATTTTCTATATCTGAGTATGTTATTCCTATATCAACCATTTATGAAGAGATGACTAGTATTGACATTACCAAGGGACCAGGACCTGATGGTATCCCCCTTCTGTTCTCAGATTTTGTAGTTTTATTCTCTCGCGGCCACTTCACATTGTATTTAATAAGTCTCTTACTTCGGGCATATTCCCAGATTTTTGGAAAGTGAGTTATCTTACACCTATTTTCAAGTCTGGTAACAGAGCAGACATATCTAACTATGGAACCAACTGTAATCTTAGTTCCATTCCAACGTTGTTTGAAAAGATAGTAGCTGATTACTTAAGAACTAAATTAAGTTTATCAGTAATAGAAGAACAATTTGGGTTTCGTAACAAAAAATCTACAGAACTGAATTTACTTGCTTTTGTTGACTATCTGTCGGACGTCTTGGATGCAGGTCATGAGGTCCATGCCATATACACAGACTTTTCCAAGCCGTTCGACAGGGTCAATCACAAACTTTTGTTTAATAAACTGGAAACTGCTGGGATCATGGGAACATTGTTGCAATGGCTGGCGAATTATTTATCTGAAAGATTCCAAACTGTTAAATTGAATAAATACATATCTAAAAACATTCCCAATCCATCTGGAGTTCCCGCCCAAGGGTTCCATTTGGGACCTTTGTTATTTTTATTTATAAATGATATCTCAGAATGTTTCAAGTTTGCCAAATTTTTATGCTTTGCTGATGACCTAAAGTGCAAGGCTAGCAGTTTCATCTCTTGATGATTGTCTCAAACTTCAGTCTGATTTGGCTAGGCTTGATGAGTGGTGTGCGAATTATGCTATGGACCTAAACATCACTAAGTATCACTCGATATCCTTTACTAGGAAGATTAACAGGATTGATTATGTAATATCAAGAGTACACCAGTGTCCCAAGTGGCATCCATTCGAGATCTGGATGTTATTACGGACTCCACGCTCTCATTTGTCAATCACATTGACACAATAGTACCCAGAGCACTTGGTATGCTTGGGTTTATAAAGAGAAACACATCAGACTACAAGTATTAATGCTATCAGTTTATTGTACTGTAGTCTTGTAAGGCATCTGCTAGAATATTGCTTTTCCAGTATACTTGCCACATTCGCAGATTAGGCCAGGTTCGGAGAACATTTCTTCGCTACTTAACATTTAAATCAAATATTCCACGGATAGATGACTATTCCTATGATTTTGCGGCACTGCAAGAGACATTCTCCTTACCAACTTTGAGAATAAGAAGAGATCAGGCCGATCTGAAATTATTTTTTAAGCTTATTAATTATATTGGTTGACTGCCCTACATTGATTTCAAGCATGTTGTTGGCAGCCGCAACTAGAAGCACAAGATCAATAAACAGTTTTCATCAGCCCTACATGAGAACTAATACTGGCCCCAATTCATTCATGCCTAGAGTTTCACGAAGCGCTAATGCTTGTGCTGATTCTAGAATTTTTTAATTCAAACTTTTCTAATTTTATGAGGGTGTTAAAACTTACTGTGACTTAATTTACCTAGTCTTAATATTAGTTGTTTCGATTTTGTACATGTTAATATATTTATGATTTTTGTTGTTAGTTTATTAGTTTATCATTATTATGTCATATTATGACTCATGACTGAGGTTTTTTTTGTTTTTATTTGTAACTTTGTACTAAAAGTGGACAAGGCCCGTAAATAAATAAATAAACTGGATTTTCATCGGAAAATTAATATCAATGATTAATCTTACCCTGTGAACTCCATCCTTATAAAAAATTCACTACACATACATTTTTAGTTAATGTGAAAATATTCAGATATATTAAACAGACGAATTTTAGAAAACTTTCTTCGATATTTCCTATGCCTATAACTAATTTTCGGACATCTTTTGGTCCACGTTAATTTCTTTTTACTACCCATTGTGAGGCAATTTGTTTTTTTTTTTCACATATCTGTTCTTTCATTTTAGTTCACTTATAATCTATTCCAGTTAATCAACTATAGGTAGTAGAAAAATATATGACATTATTTTTTACTTTTAGGATGTAAATGCTTCCAAACTGTTTAGCGAAGAAGCTGCAAACATGTTTGAGCGTGCTACTAGTTCTTTGTTGAGCAAAAATATGCTTCTTTATTTCGCCTATGCCGATTACGAAGAAGGTAGATTGAAATATGAAAAAGTACATCAAATCTACAACAAATATTTGGAAATTGATGACATCGATCCGACATTGGTAAGTTCTAATAGTAGTGATACATTTCTCATAATAAATGAAGATTTTGTTGAATTGAGTGGGTAGGTTTGTTACATTTTAAAAAGGGTAAGAATGGTTACTCTTTTTGTGTTAACTTATGTAGCTAATTTGTAATGAATATGTCATGGTAAGTCAAATTATTAATAACCTATTTTATTTTTTGTATTAAGAATTTTCACTGTTCAATACATTGGTTTCTTGACTATTCATTAGATGTGCCTGAAGATGAAGTAACATGCTTCGAAACCTGTCGCAGATTAAATGACATTGTGAGACATAAAGGACTACCTTCGTACTCAATCCCAAACACTCACATATGGCTACCCTCGCCCATAATTTACTAGTTTCGTTATCAGTGCTTCAACTTTTATAACCACTCTAGATTATCTGACAATAATTTATCCACAATGTTCCTTTATCCCCTACAGTAGTTTAGATAATTTTATTATTGTATAACTCGACCAATTTTAAAAGAAAACCACTGTAATAACTATTATTGAAAAATATTTTGTTTCAGGCATACATTCAATACATGAAATTCGCTCGTCGTGCCGAGGGAATCAAATCGGCCCGAACGGCCTTTAAAAAAGCTAGAGAAGACCCTCGTTCGACTTATCATCTATTTGTGTGCGCGGCTTTGATGGAATACTACTGTAGTAAAGATAAAAACATAGCTTTCAGAATATTTGAATTGGGTCTCAAGAAATTCGGTGCTGTACCCGAGTACATTACTTGTTATATAGATTATCTGTCTCATTTAAATGAGGATAATAACACGAGAGTACTATTCGAAAGAGTTTTATCTTCCGGTAGCTTGGAACCAGAAAAATCGGTGTAAGTAAAATCGACTATTTTAACTAATTCAGAGTGGTGGTGAATTGTATATATGTGGCCGATAGACCTAGTCAAAATCATATAATCTCGGCTTTTATAGTCCTAATTTATTTTTTCTTCGAGATAATTGTGTTTTGTTTAAATTATAGAAAAATTTGGTAATAAAGAAACTATTTTGACTAACTTTCAATGTCTTTAGATCTTTGTACTTGAATTCACCTTGTTTTTAATATCAGTTATATTGATAATATCCATATATAATTCTAGTGACATCTGGAATAAATTCCTGGAATTCGAGTGCAATATTGGTGACTTGCAATCAATAGTAAAAGTCGAGAAAAGAAGATCTGAAGTTTTATCAAAGATTAAGGAATTTGAGGGCAAAGAGACAGCCCAATTGGTAGACAGATATAGATTTTTGGACCTCTTTCCATGTACCCCACAAGAATTGAAGAGTATTGGGTAAGTTTTTATATTTTTTCTTTTGTATCGATATGAGACTGGAATTAGATATGACAGAAAGAGATATAACAGGAAATGCCAGAAAGTATGAAAGAATATTGAAGTATTTCATTATTCAAAGTGGAAAACTTACATTGTCATTGAAAACTGGTATAGATTTCTATTGATTTCACAAAATATCACAAAATTAAATATTTAAACTTGTTAACTACAATAGCTTTGTTGAAATGTTTAAATCATCCGAATTCTAGGGATCAATAGAAATCAAAATTTGTTTTACATTTTTTTATTATTATATTTTTTATTATTTTATTATTATATTTGGAAGCATATCATAGAATTTATATTTATTTGTTCTTAACACGTTCACTGCTGAACCTATATCTGTGAACTAACGTTTAGCACAGAGATAACAGGAGATGTAATTACTAACAAATATTGTGCGGTCCTGAATAAGACATTCTAAGGGACACAAGAGGGTATAATATCCGCTGTTGCCATATGCCTATTTCATTATTCTCGTTTTGTTTACAAAATTATATTAAAAAAGCTAAAATAATTCAACCCAAAAAATTTGAAATTTTAGTTATATCAAATTTAACTGAATTAGATGTAATAATTTTCAATAAATTCCAAAATGTTCAGTTGGAAGTGACAACAGGGCTTATATCGTTGTTTATTATAAGCGCTCATCGCTTACACATTTATTCATTGTAACCCCAAAACAACTTGAAACTTGCTATAGGTGTGGGTAAATAATTAAAAAAATAAGTAACTTTTTGTCAAAGCATTTCTCGAAATTTTGTAAAATAATGCCTTTTTTTGGGAAAAAATGTCAATTTTGACATTTACAAAAGGCAGGCGATTGACCATTTGCATGTCATTCATTATCATTTTTGAAGTAACAACAGATGACAAAGCGAAAATTCATCTACAACATTTACGAGAAAAAAAATATGATGCTCACTTTATGTGTGACCCTGTTTATACCTCAGTATAATACACTCTTCTAGGGCCATAATTCAAACCTATGCACGCCACTGTTACTATTGTAGTACTGGCTGAAGAGATGCGTGAATTCGATTCAGCAGCCCAAGTTTTCGACCGCTATTCTGTATCTCGGATACGCGTATCCTCGTCTGAAAGGGCCCTTATCTGGTTAGTTATACAGTGTGTTAACCCTACACATCAGGCAAAATAAAGATGAGATGCTTAATTTTATTTGGACGTGAGAGCGATAAAGAGAGTAGGTTTCTATTTCTCTTTATTCAATAGCAATGTGTTTCTATAACGTTCTTCTGGAGTCAGGACGGAAAATATCTTTAAAATTATCTTTTTTTAAATTAATTTATTTTCTATTTTAGATACACTGAAGTAATTAATATCACTGGAGCAGCAGGAAAAAACCACATTTTACAGTCTATAATAGAATCCGAACCAGATTTACCTTTACCTGTTCCTGACTATTCTCAAATGATTCCATACAAACCAAAAACTAATTCTCTGCCAGGCGAACATCCAGTTCCAGGTAGGTTCAAAACCATTTATCCAGTTGCAATAAAAATAGCAACTATTTATTGCCTGTATATCTTGAAAGTGACTATTTAAATTCAATAGAATATTAAATTTAACTTAACTTTAGTGTTAGTAACCTCAATCTAGCCAGGCTTTTAAACTCTCACAAGATGTGGATTGATGTTTTCTCTTCTTCCCATAACCGCCACAATGTGCCTTCTTTTGCTAAATTTATGACACTCTTAGGTGACAGTGTCCGATAAGATCTGCTGTTACCTTAAAGTTTCATCGTTTTTGATCAAGTAGATCTTCTGTAAAGTTGGCTGATGGTTCTTTGATGAATTCTTTAGCCTATATCAGTCCTTTTTAGTTGTTTCACCATTCCAGAAACCCTTTTTACATCAATTATTTGATGGATGTTTTGCACAATGCCTTAAGAGCTTTACAGAAGGGTTTGGGTCCTATCATGGTTTTATCTAAGCCTTCTCGAGATGATTCGTCTGCCTTTTCATTGCCCTAATATCTTTCGTGACCTGGTACCTAGGCTAAGGTTACTTTGACTTTCTACCTCTGTTAAGACTTCTAGGCAGTCTTTCAACAGTCATGATTTGATTTTTGGTGACAGAATTGCCTTTAAAGCTGATTGGCTATCAGAGTAGATCCCAATAGTTTTGTCTGATACTTGCTGATTTATTATTTGATGAAAGAAAGTGAAGTAAGTAAAATTGGTTGAGAACCAAAAAACAAATGCAATATTGGAAATATAAAGATGAATGATCCCCAATTTCCTCTACAAAATTATGAATAATGCACTTTCATATTCCCAAAGTGTAAACAAACCAAAGAAACATTGAAAAAGCTGAAAACTTAAGACAGAAAAAATGAGTGCATCGAAAAGACATTGAACGTGAAACCTTTGGACTATAGCTGTATATGCTCTTACCAGATGAGCTATCGAGGTACATGTTTTCAACAATCGAACTTGAAAATTGAAATCAATCAGATTCCGACTCTCATCGGCGAACACACAAATTTTAATCCCATCCCTGCTCTCTCAATTCTTCTTAAAGCTACTTTTGTGACATCGTGAAGAAAGACGACAATCTAATAATTGTACTAGAATAAATTTTGAAGGTGTGTGTTATAATAACGCCGATACTGAAAAAAAGGGTTATTTTCTTTAATTAGAATTAATATAAAATAAATTATATAAATAATAATTAAAGGGTTTTTTGGAAAAATGTTACAAGCCACAAACTACATTTATTGACATAACATGTTTCAAAAGTTCAAATAAAATTCTAAAACTATTACAACTTTGTTCAAATGCAATAACTTGATGGCTAGTGATGGCATTTGTTGGAGAATGTCCAAATTATTTCTTTATGTGGCTTGTAACCTTATTACTTATTTGAAGAAGAATAATTTCCTGGCCGTAACAGAGTTTTATATAAATAAAAACTTCCTTGGTTTATTCGGTCATTTAATTTTAATTTAATTTAAAATAACAACTCTGTAAATAATAAAACAGACATAAAAGATTTGTCAAACGTTTATTTTAATATTATTAAATAATTGTAAGCCTTCTTCTAATCCTTAACTGTAACGCCACTGGTAATTTTTAACTTTGTAAAAACTCATCTTTTGTTTCCCTACTTTATCGTTATCGTTTTGACTGCACCCGAAGATGGAAACAAAATTATCCGAAACATATGTAGTGCTGTGCTAAACGATAGAAAATAAAACTAATGACCGAATAAACAAAGGAAATTTTTACTTTTTTTGTTACTTATTGTCGTGGAGTGAAAATGCCACTATTTAAAAAAGTGTGGCTTGTCTAGTTTTTACAATAAGCCCTTCAATTTGTGAAATTTGTAGATATTTTATACAAATATTTTCTTTTTAGGTGGATCCTTCCCACTCCCTCCAACTGCAGCACATTTATGTACTATGTTACCGCCTCCAAATTGCTTTAGAGGACCATTCGTCCATGTAGACATACTTATGGATGTCTTTAATAGAATATACCTTCCAGAAAACTGTAAGTATGAAAGCAATAAATTGACCAAAGAAAGATATGGTTTTAAAAAGATATATTTGACAAAGTATTACAAATTTAATATTAATTGGGCACATGAAAAGTTTTATATTATACAGGGTGTTGCGGAATATCAAGTTCACGACTTGTTCTAACATTTTATAGTTGTCGCTCGAACTGTGTCTAATTGCTTCCACGGTTTCGTCAAAAATGCGTAGTTTTCCTTGCTTTTAAGTTTACTTATGGAACTCGTATCCTGGAATAGACTAATTAAGTCTTGACGTCTCAAGTGGTTCAAACAAATCGAAAATACAAGGTGAATCCTAAGTTGATTCTTTTTTTCTGTATATAGAAGTTTCAAAATAACTTTTTTAAAAAACCCAAAAATAAAAAAAGATCGAGAATAAAAATAATTTAATCGGAGCCTGGGTTTGTAAATTGAAAATTAAGCTAAATATTTATAATTTTTTTTGCCTGGTTTTTATCGTGAATCATATGCAAGAGGTAAACCACCAAGGTCATAACGTAACTGTGTTTCAGAAATCACCTAAAATTCGTATGATTTTGATGATTTCACCGAAATCCACCTAAATTTTACAAAATTTCGGTGATTTCGCCGAAATCCTTCTTAATTACATAAGATTTCCGTTATTTCGCCAAAATCTCCGTTAGTTTAATAGGATTTGTAAAGATGTCATATTTTTTAAAAGTTGTACCATAATACATTATTTAAAAAAATGGTTCTATAGAAGTAAAAATTAAAATGAAAAATATAAAACAAATTACAGTGAGTACAAATTCCAAAAATCTTCCTTAGATCTGGGGAAAAATATGAAGATCTGCAGATTTGGCAACACCGCTTGTATATTTATTTTTAATAAAAATTCACCTTGTTATTAATATCCAACGAAGACAATGACGAAAATAAATATTAAGAATAAAGAAATAATTTATTAAATAGTGATTTGCAGCGGGGTGGTATAGTCTTGACTAGGTGACATACCACTCCCTCAACTGTGACGTCACGTCGAATCTTTGCAGGAAATTTTAACGCTAGCGATGTGAGGGAAACCTCATTTAGCGCAATTTCTTATCAGCAACTGCCTGCCGTTATCAATTGTCTGGGTAAATATTTCCCCAGAACTAGCGAAAAATGAAAGTACTTATCATCTACTACAAGTAAATGCGGTATTGCCATATCTACAGTTCTTCATAATTTTCCCCCAGATCTGGGTATATATTAATTAGAAAGTCGTTAAAACAAAGTGAGTAGTCATTTGATGTTTTTTTTTTTTTTTAATTATATTTTGCCTTTGTTTATAAGAAGTTCAGCCAAATTATTTAATTTCGCCTTTGTTCACAATACTTTTCAAAAACTATTGAAAAGTTTGTATAGAAAAGTCCTCTTTTCGCACTTGTCAATCGACTTTTCCTAGCATTCAATCATTAATTCCAATCAACATATAGGTTCAGTAAAATAAATTTTATTTTTTCTAGTCCCAATTCCTGCATCAGAAAACGGAGACGTTCGTTTGTTTGATCTAGCCAAATCGGTACATTGGATAGTAGAGGAAGGTGGAAGTATAGGACTGAAAAGACGAAAGAGAGCAGGGCTTAGTTTAGAGGGATCTGATGACGAAGATACACCGTTACCACCCTCAAACGATATTTACCGCCAGAGGCAACAAAAGAGGGTGAAATAATTCGGAGAAAAATAAATTTATTTGTCTTTTTTTTATAAAATACTTTGTTATGTGGCTTGAATTGTCAGACGTTATACTCGGTTGCCATGAGAAGCTGGATATTTTTAGATTGTAATAAATAAATACTATGATATAAGTCAATGTTTTGTGACATAAAAATAAATGTTTACAGTGTGGTTCATAATTAAAACAGTCGTGTAAGTCCTCATGAGACACCATATCGACACTCGCCCCTATGAAACTTAAACGGGAGCATCGTAGGAATTATAGTTTACTTTTCGGATGGGATTTCCCTAATTTGTGCAGTGCTATCGAATTACGATCCCATTTTATCTGTTTTCATCCACGCATGTCTTCAGCATGCATTGACTTCACTGATTTAGTTATCTTCAAAAAAAAAAAAAAAAAATAACAGATTTCCGTCCACTCTATAGGTTTGATATGTTTTTAAAGTTCATGCACAAGGGTCGTAGGTTTGGCAATAGGATAAAAGTACCACATTTACAGCATGGTATTCAAATTTTAAGACATTAATTATAAAAAATGTGGAAACTATCATTACTAATTAAATTTGCTCTATGTATTTTAGATACGGTAATAAACAATCCTAATTTACTAGAATTTTAACAGAGTAAATTACTTTTTGTATATTTTAACTTGAAGTTACATAAAAAAAATGTAAACCTCTTTATTAAAAGATTTTCTTCAAGGATGTAAAGGAAAGTTAAAAACTAGCTATCTCTTCGACAACTTTCTATCACACAACATCAGGGCAGTAGGTCAAATGACTTCCTTCAGGGGGGTGGTAGGTAGGTATAGTTTATGCAAAACAAAGTTGAATGCACGTCACCATAAATATACAACGTCACAAATGTTGCCGAACTTTATAAAGTTTACAAAATCTAAGAATTTTCTAAAATTGCCAAGAAATATTTCTAGAGATGAAGTACATTTAAAAGTAATAATTCTCGCAAACCTTCATTTAAAACTGTCTATTTCGAATTAAACTATCAAAAGTCTTTTTTTTAAATCACTTGTGAAACAATTATAACATTATTTTCTTTTATTCATTACTATCATATTATCACTACAGCTTTCACTTTCTTCATTGAGATTTATTATTACAGGTGCAATTTCGAAAGTATCTAACATTCTCTTTCTGTCAAATCATTTGGAAATTTCTTTTTTAGTATGATCAATACATTTTTTCCATATTTCAGGAGTAATTGTTTGAAGGGCTTCAGACCACATATTTAAATAGTCTCTTTCAGTGGTTCCATCTCTGCCAATCTGCCCTATATCAGTTCAATGGGATTAAAAATACAATGATATGGGGGTAAACGTAACACTTTGTGTCTGTATTGCTCGGCTAAATGGTTAACCATATAAATAGGTGGTGGTTTATTACTGAAAAATAAAATCATTATAACTTTGAAATACAAAGTAAAGCTTGATAATGAAAGTATTATATTTTTTACTTACCTTCTAACAATGTTCAGAAGTTCAACTTTTAGCATGTTTTCTGTAAACGCAAGACTTTGATTTGTCAACCATTCTTTAATTTTTGGTTTGTTCCAAGTAGTACTTGGTGTTTTATGCAGTAAAACGTTATGATATGGAGCATTGTCCATGACAATTACGCTTGGTTCTAGAAGATTCTTTAGTAGTTGGTTTTAAACCATTTTAAAACATTATCATGATTCATTTCACCATGGTAATCACTTAATTTAGTTTTTGAGGAAAATATGGCTTTTGCATCTTCAATAAACCATTTTCATTTCAACAATTGGAGTATGATATATCTACTAAGAATAATACTGATGAAGTAGTGTCTAAAGCAATAACGAGGCATGGGAATATTTAAGAAAAGAACATGTGCAATAGATATAGAGCCAAATATTAATGAAAATAAATTAGCTGGAGCTGAACAGAAACCAAAGAAAAAATAAGTTTACCTTTTACCATCAACTTTAGTGGTTTTGACACTTCTTTTATCATTATTTTGCCATGAACGGGTTATGGTACCATTTTGAAATATCCATGTTTCATCAATAAAAACAAATTTATATAAAGCTACTTCTTTTTCTTTAATATAGTTCCTTAAAAACCGAACCCGTTTTACAGCTATATCACTTGGCTCTATAAGCCCCCGTCTTGGTTCATCTTTTTTCCATTTCAATCCAATTTCCTTTAATAAATTCGATAATGACCTCCGACAGCCATCAAATAAGTATCTTGTTTGTAGTTCAGGAAGTAAGAAATTCAAAGTTACATACTGTCCTGAAAACAAAAAATACCATTTTTTTGCTCTTACAGTTCACAGAGAATTTAGAGTTAGGTACACAAACAATGTATTAAGAGTACTTAATTTTTCATACATATTGTAAATTACATGTCTTATTCCACACGTATTTATTATCTGGGTATTAGTAACTTTTTTATATGATCGTTTCTTTGGAGGCGATTTTAATGCAGCATGTTCTTTCACAGTTTGTTAAATACTGGAAACTGTAGACATACTAAAATAAAAGAAAAACTTCCACTCGAACAGCCGTAATAGGTAAGAAAGGGCCATGATTGTCTCGTTCGAAAAATTCTCTTCTGTGTACATAGTGAAATTTTGTTAAAATGAGGCAAACCTTTCGTTGCTATCTGGGTATCTAGACTGTACTAAAAATTTTCATTTCAGGGTAATTTTTTGTCTAATTTCGATGGACGTATTAAAGACCTTAAACGCAAACATATTAATATTAAACCTTACCATAATAAATAAGATGGCTTTTACGAATCAAAATGAAATTCAGAGATTGGAAGCGGTATTCGTGTGGTAACACGCATGCGCAGATGATAATACGAGAATGTAATGTGTTATTTGATATTTTTCAATTTGAGTTGTGTCCAGGCCGTTGGAGTCTACGCCGGACGACGTAGCCAGGTATGGGTTGATATGTGTTGGTGGTAGAATGTGTTACTAGGAATACCAATACGTATCTGTAACGTGTGGAGGGTGGGTTTACCCACGGCATTTGGGCATCACTATGAATCCTCCTAAGATGATAGGCACCTCCTAGCTCCTGAGCCAGCCTATATATTTAATTTAGTTGACAACGTCGCCAAGAGGTGCTTCTCTTATATCGGCCGGTGTTAGCCGATACTCGCTGAACACAAATCTTCTAATAAGAGAATCGAGCCATAATTTTGCTCGATGGTCTCGTCTTCATCTTCGCACCCTCTGCAGAGTGCGGATTCTGACAGCCCCATGATATGAAGATACTTTCGTACTTGGCAATGACCAGTCAGAATACCTGTGACTAGGAGCAGATTCTGTCTAGTCATTGTCAATACCGCTATTTATTAGAGATGTGACTGTACGGTATCATAGATATACCCTTCAACGGTTGACAGCACACCGAATCGTGACACCGATTGGAGATGGGACTCTAGAGATGGGAGAAACATATACCGTTACACACTGATTTAATTAAAATTATGGAATACATTATGTTCTCCAAATCCGTATGTTCGATACGTTCGTCCTATACGCACACATGGACACATACACTTTTAACTATTCTGTTGACGTCGCTTGACTGCTGTTAATCTTTAAATTTTAATCTACCGGGCTTCAGACAACCAATCATGAAGCTAGTTTGAGACAGTATCTGTCGAAAAACAAATTATTTCGTTACTGAATTTATGAATAGTTCCGCGACGATGTGCGTGGCTAAATGAATTATGTTTCTGTTTGTGCACCCTATTGGTATTATTTAAGTATCGCAGCGCGGCAAAATGACCAGCTCCACTGTTCTTATGTTTCATAGAGGCGAGGGTGAACCAATGAGCTTGAATACCTTCATGGTGTCGAGGCAAGGCAAATTGGTACACCAATGTACGAGACGAGTGATGCGGCAACGTAAACTGCTTCAATATTTTGTTTATTTGCGTCTGACATCTTTTATATTTTCCATACAATTTTCTAATATCTTTCCCATTTTTTCGTTTAGTTTTAGTCCAATTTTTAGTTTTCTTTGCATATGATATTTTTATGTGGTTGTCAGCAATTTCCAGATCTTTCTAGTTTGTTGGAGACTTCCTAATTTCTGTTTTGTTGTCCATTATTTTCTCACGATCCATTATATTAAGAAATATATAGCTTCGTTCGCGAAACCGATCATGAACGTATTCTGAACGCTAAGGTAGACCATACACGTCTATATAAATATTTAAACAATTCAAATCCAGTTATAAATATGCAGTGTAATTTTTACCTTAGCGTCCATAATCACTTCAGGATTGTTACCGCGAACAAAGCAAATATCTTTATACTATGCTCGATTGAATAGTACTGAAATGTTAATAGAATATACGTTTTTAATTTGTAATGTTTTTATTTTACTTATAAGAAAATTGTTAATGATGGAGGAGTTTAGACCTATGCTGCCGTCCTAGCAAAAAAGGTCCTAACATGTGTTGTTTGAAAATAATCGAGTTTTTAACTATTTTTCGCAAACATATATCTGTTATCTTCTAAACCTCTTTTGTGAAACTCTTTAACGTTTTAATACCTTTACGACGCAAATAGAACATTTCATTTTGGTATCAAGAAAGACAAAATGTAGGCAAATGCAAAGAGATTAAAAAAACTGCTAATTTTGCAGATAGGACCTTTCTTGTTAGGACGGCAGTATGAATCTTTTGCCAGTGGTAGATTTTGTCTTGGAAATTGTGGTAAATGAACAGTTAAATGCATACTTGCAAGAACTCCATATTATCTATGTGGGCTGGTCAGACTACAGGAACAAACGCTCGTGTGAAAGTGCTAGTCAGTATGTCATACCGGATATCGACACTTAAGAAAGAAATAAATATCTAAGAAATTTTAAAAGAACATTATATTGTTTTGTAACAGACGGGAAAACTTACTTTTTAGGAGATACTTCACTTAAGCTTGCCGTTAGTGTTATTGTACCGCTGTACTTACCATTAACGTGTACGCCCAACTTTTTCATTTTAGTATTAAAGTAATAAAGAGAAACAGGTAGAGAATACTCAAAAGAACAGTTATATATTTTAAAACGTATATACACGCGTATATACAGAGTGGACTCAAATGCACATACATGGACTTAACAAGAGCAGGAAAAACTTTTATTTTTACCTTTTCGAAAAAATGTTATTATTCATAAAAGTTTTTGCTGATTTCAAAACTTATAATAATTCAAACAGAGATTGAATATCTTTTACTTTAGTGGAATAATGACAAATGTTAAAAATATTAATTCAATAAAGCAAAGAGATCCAACTTCTTCATAATATTTGTAAATTCGAGAATACTCATTCATTTATGCTTTTATCTTTATATAATTAACCGAAAAAATCTGGTAAACGCTTGATCAGAAAGTCTGAAAGGAGCTTTCCTATCATCATAAACTCTTCGAGGATGATTATTTGCCTCTTCTAATTTGTAATAAGATATTTAAAAAAATTATATTTGCCATCATACCTATAGGTCACGATCAATTTATGAAACAAAACAAAAACACTGCAATATTAAAACGTGCATCCAGTTAGACCTTCGCATTTGAATGCGAAGAGCAAAAACCCACTCGCTGTCAAATGCGCACCCGCGATATAAATTCGAACGACCAAGAATAGCTACAACAAGCTTTTGACCAAATACGCATTCGCATTTAGTAAATGCGCATTCGCATTGATTAAAGCACCAGTCGAGGATAGGTGCCCTGGTCGTCTGTTATGGCTACTTGATTCTCAACAATTCACGCCACTATAATTTAGAGAATCAACCCATTGCCATGGTAAGGTTCTATTACAATGACCATTACTTCGAATTTCAAATACATATTATCTATATCAATAAATAAAAAATAAGTACCTAGGTTGTTATTTATAAAAAAAGATTTCCTATACTCCTATAATATTAACACGCCACTAAATCACCGGTAGGCGGCGACAGCCAATGAATTATCGTCACCAAATGATGATGCGAGTGTTCTTATATATTGTAATCGCTTTTTTCTATCCAAGCGCAATCTACTTCTTTGTCTAGTTAGACAAATAACTATGTATTTTAATCAGAAATATTATTTTAGTATTTTAAATTTTAGTTTAATTCTCTTAATAGAAACATTTTGGAGGTTTAATCTTCCGTCAAATTATTGCATAGTATATGTTGCATATTAGACGGCGTTACGTATTTTTACAGGTTTTATTTCTGTATTAAGTGGCTCACAATAAAATCTTAGACCCGCCTCTGTCTAACAGCACCGCAACTAAACAAGCAGTAAAATTTAATTTGGTTTCCTGCATTTCCAGCGTACCGGGATACAGGGATACAATAAACGGAGGAGCTTTTATTAAAATTAAATCCTTAATGCACTTTAATTGCTCTTTAGGGTGATGACATTTTTGGTGATATTTTATAATTTATTTTTACTGCTACCACTATCCCGAATAGTTATAATTGTTATTAAGTATAAGACTGGATTTTCCATTCAAACATTTTATTAAGCAATTTAAGATAAGTTTTACAAAAGAAAAGAATGGCATTTACGTACATAAATTCTATTTTTAATCTTTAATTTTAGAGAATCATTAAAAATCCAAGTATAAGAAAATATACAAACTTATAATATGCAGTTTAGTTTTCCATTTTTTTTTTAATGGATTCATTATGTCGATATCGAACAAGAGTAACTTGTTTGAGTAAACACTCCATAGTTTTTTATCATATAAAAACTATTTTAATGCCAGAAATGTCAAAAAATGACAGATAAAAAAATATGGGAAAATTTCCATTAGGCATTTCAATAACCTGTCAAAATACAGTTCCCACACATACTTTGATTTTTTCTTACTATACGAAGAATGGTCGCACTGCGCAGCTTTCTGAGTGCTTTTTAAGGAGATAGAAAACTCCGCCATTTTGATGCCTTATTACGTGTTGCCTACATCTTTGCGCAATTAGGCATTCCAAACTGAATGGTTACCAGTGGGTTTTGACGGGTTATGATATGGCAAAATTATAGCAACCCTGTAGGCCTGGTGATTTGACAAGGTCAATGAAATAGATAGTTACATAGATTGATTATCCATATTTTTCAAAATAAACATAAGCTTATGCCTTCAAGTAAAAATGTAAGCAATTATTATTTTTTAAATATCCAAAGGCTAAAAATTGGTTTTAAAATACATTTTTGCCAAACCGATTCAAATTAATAAATATTTGCCAGGCAATATGGCCGCTCGCAAACGACCAACTGTAAGCAATCTATATAACTATATATGTATCATTGACCCTGTTAATGACAACAAGACAACAGGGTTGCCATATCTAAACTGTCATTACCCACTGGTAGCCATTTGGACAGGTCGTTGGAATGCCTAATATTTTTAATACTTTGCTTGCGGCTGTTAGTGTCAGTGAATATTATTTTTGGAGTCACAGTTTACCCGAAAGTGACACATAATTACCCACCGGATTTGAAAATATGTATTAGAATTTTGTTTATTTTAATTTAGGATACAAATAAGTTTGCTTGTAAGAAAAAAAAAATTGTTTATAGTTTTAGCTATCGTTTTAGATTTTAGGAAACGGATATATCACATACAAGCTGTAGTTGATACAGCTTCTGTGATTCCATTGTTTATTTACAAATGATTTATGTTTATATTACTTACATGTATATTTTCGTGAATAAACATTATTATTATTGCTAAAGAATCAGTTAGCTCACTCGGACCAGTTGAAAGTTCCAAAATAACATCCACTCCAGGGATACAAATTCAGGATGCGCAGAAGACTGCTGTTTTATTATAGGCGGTTTTCATATATTGTATTATCCGAATTGCGCAGTGTATAAACTGGAACATTGAGTTCAAAAGTGCCGACGCAGAGTGAGCGAACTGATTCTTTAGCTATAAACTGTGGCAAAGGCATCAAAATTGCCGCGCCCTATGTTGGACGTGGTCGGACCTCTCGCTTGCATCGTATAGTAATCAAAGTATGTAAGTTTCCACAAGTAAAATGTCATTCACCGGGCCCACAACTGACAATTTAGATATGGCAAAAATGTGTTTTAAAGCCAATTTCTAGCCTTTGAATATTAAAAAAAAGTTACCTACATTTTTACAGCAAGGCATAAGTTTATGTTTATTTTTAAAACATGGATGATCAATCTATATATCTATCTACATCATTGACCCTTTCAAATCACCAGGCTTACAATGTTGCCATATCATAACCTATCATGTGCCTTTCAGTGACCTATCATTTCATACGGCCAATCCATTTTTGTTTGGAATGCTTAATTGACCTCCCCCTAATGAGCCTAAGATCGCAATTAGGCATTAGGCATTCCAAACTGAATGGCTACCAGTGGGTTATGATATGGCAAAATTATGGCAACCCTGTAGGCCTGGTGATATGACAAGGTCAATGAAATAGATAGTTACATAGATTGATCATCCATATTTTTCAAAATAAACATAAGCTTATGCCTTGAAGTAAAAATGTAAGTAATTATTTTTTTTTTAATATCTAAAGGCTAATAATTGGTTTTAAAACACATTTTTGCTAAACCGATTCAAATTAATAAATATTTGCCAGGCAATATGGCCGCTCGTAAACGACCAGCTTTGAGCAATCTATATAACTATATATGTATCATTGACCCTGTTAATGACAACTTGACAACAGGGTTGCCATATTTAAACTGTCATTACCCACTGGTAGCCATTTGGACAGGTCGTTGGAATGCCTAATTCCAACGACCTGTCAAACAATTACCTGCCAGTGGGAAGGTCTCGTATATCTAAGGGGGTAGCGACATAGTCTTGCATCTTGGACGGCTATTTTTATTCGAAATATCAGTCGCCAATCCAGCCAGTTTTTAAAAAAATGTACAAGCAGTTTTTTTAATTATTATTTTTATAGTGTTCGATATAAAATATTTAAATGTAATCCATTATTCATGATTTTACGTATTGTAGATAGAATACATCGTATGTCGCAACCGTCAGATCTACCAAACCTGCCCACTGGGCAATTCATTTGTTTGGAATGCCTAATAGAATAATTTGATAATTTAAAATGGCTGAGTTCTGGAGATTAAAAAAAGATATTTTTATCAGACAGCCCTTTGTTTGGAATGGCTAATATTAGGCATTCCAAACAAAATGGTGTGATGGATTTGATGTCAGGTCAATGATATATTTATTGTAATATATTTTAAAAAAATCTATCAAAGGTAATAGAATATTAATATTTGAAATATAATAAAGAAATATGATTTTGTATAAATATTTTGATATTA